AAATGTGTATATTGAATACACATGTGATTTGAAATATAAATGCTGCCAAAATAGTGGAGTTGTTTACATTATGAGTAACTTATGAAGCAAAAAAGTAGCACAAAAGTATCCTAAATATTTTCCCTTTTGAAGGAAAATGTGATTGCTCAGTTAGACATTGTTAGACTTAATATATTGACATCTTACTGATATAGGAGAAAGTGTAGGGTTTTATTCTGGAATAAATAAAAGTCATTGTTGTGATAAATTATTCTCTTCATGTGAAAATTAATCACTCTAGTTCCATTTATGACCAGTCTTTGCCCAATATTTCACTGTATTTCAGTTATTAGAGATTCAAATGTGGTTCAGCTGGATGTTGACTCTGAAGTGAACCATGTGGTTGGACCCCTGAATCCAAAACCAGTTGATCACAGGGAGCCTGTGTTTGTTGGAGGTGTTCCAGGTAAGCATTGTTTAAAACAAATAAGTTTCCAAATAAAAAAAAAAATAGTAAGTTCTTATGATTTTCATTATGATATTAAGAAGTAAGCCATGTGTTTTCATAATTCACCTAATAACTCAAAGGATTTTATGTCCTCTAATAGGAAAAGCAAACAGAAAATTGTGATTTCTTATCCAAGAAGCACATAAGAATTGGTGTTATAGCCAATAGATATTACTCACATCCTGATGTATTTGCTTATTTTTTGTCTCCTTTTACATATCCTACATATACACAAACACACATTGAACCATTCTATTTTATCCCTAACACCAAAAAAAAAAAAACCCTCATTTTCTAATACTGCTCCAAGATCTGAAAACCTTGAGGATTAAAATTTTGCTATTAATTGTTCCCCTTCTATAAAAGGAAAAAATGTGGAGTACCCCACCCCACCCCATCCAGGATTAGTCTAAATTGTGAAAACAGCTGCAGACCATAAGTTATGTTGTTCTTGTTCCCTAGGAGAGGTTCCCAGCTGCAATTCTATAAACATAATCATTAGCATCACCTTGTCTTCTGCCAAGAATGGTATATAATCCAGGACAGTGATAAAAGGATACTTATACCACCCCACACACACACAATCATTTTAAACCTCTAGAGCAGGGACCATATCCTTATGTTGAATGTGATTGTTGTTTTTACACATTTCACTACCTTGAAAAGACTGAAAGCTGTGAGGAATTATATATATAATTTCTGCATCTGGAATTTGGTGGAGATTTTAATAGTCTCCTAACTAGATTATTTTAGATTTACCCACATCAAGACAGCCAAGAGAATGAAAAAGCATAGATCAAATAAAGCATCTCAACTTGGGTCCCCCAAAATAGTAGTAATTAAGTACTCCTCTCCTTTGTAATGCAAATATTTCAAAGGTCAGTTTTAACAATGATAGTAAATCAGGGATCAAAAGAAATACTTAAGACCCTCACAAAGCAACCTTTCCTTTCTTTCACTTCCCTACCCACCTCCCATTGCCATTCCCTAGTTCTGTTGTCCTGTTCCTGGCTTTGGTTCTGAAAGGAATTCAGCAAAGGTCTCTACTTCACTTCATGCAGATGGAGTGTGAAAAAATGTCTCACATCCTTCCTTATATTTCTGAGTATTGCTTCCTTCCTAAAAATTACAATGTAGTTTAAAATACTTCACAGGTTCCTAAGGGTCCACAGGATCAAATTCAGCATAACAAGCAAGGTCCCTGATCATCTGTCCCCACCTTCCACCTACCTCTGGGATCTCCCCATACCTTCTGGGACTTGAAGTTTCCTCAATTTTCAATGATGCTCTCTTAGCTCCAGGCTTTTGCACAAGTACACAGGGCTACACTTTCTGAAAAATATTGTTCTTTCTTTCTTCCTCTAGTACCTTTATAGAGAACAGCTTCTCCCACTCCCCCCACCCTCCTCAACCTAATTCCTTACTGACCTTTAGGATTCAGCTTGGGCTTTTATTTACACATGCCCATCTCCTGAGGATGTGTATGCATACCAGTATTGTAGCATTATCACAAAATGCTGTCAAAGCTAAGCAGTACACCACTTGCTGCCAAGGACCATGACTTCACTCAACACAGAGCCTTATGGAGGGTCTAATAAGCACTGTGCTAGGCCCCCAGGATGTGGATAAAACAAGCATAGGCTTTCATCCTGGAAGTTACAGTATTTGTTCTTCCCTCTGTACCCCAAGTGCTTACCCATCATTCAAACAAATATTTCTCTTTGATTTTTTGTTGGTTTGTTTTTACAATCTGATCCTAGCATCCATCACACACTGCTTCCATTAAGCTCTACAGACTGGGTGGTCAAGATGTACCTAACATCAAATTCAGCCTGTCCAAAACATAATAGCAAATTTTAGCTAATGAGCCAACACACAAGAACTAGCAGGGTAGGGTGTTCTAACCACCAGCCCACTGCCACAGTGCAGCTTTTAATTCTATCTAGGAAACATGCCAGCAAGCATAGAACAAAAGCAATTATAATTTAAGCTGAATGTAATTAATTATATCATTTTGAGCTATTCCATATTAATTTTATCGAAATCACATCAGAAACCAGGGCATTAATAAAACCCCTATGTGCCCTGAATTCTCTTGGAATCCCAGTCAGTCATACCACTCAGAACTCTGCTGACTCATTATTTCTACCACCAAAAAAATAATGAATAAAATTCATAATACTACTATACAAAAAGAGTCAACTTCATTGTATGATAACTTAAAAATTAAAGTTGAAAATTAGAAAAAACTTTTAAGTTAATGGAGCCCACACATGGATCTAACCATTCACTTTTCTTTTATGAATTCTTCTTTATATAGTCATGGGAAATTGAAAATGTTCCCTCTTAAAAACATGCATTGACTTTATCAATCAATTACTTAGGGTCCTGAGGAACCTTTATGTCACTACTTACAATTAACTGTGTGGCATGTTATGCAAACCATAATTGCTGTATCAATTATTTTCTCCACATGATTTCTTCCATGAACCAAAGGGTGGAAAATGTGGGCAGAATCAAAACCCATGTTCTAAATATAGTCTACAATGTGGGCCAAAGCATTAGATGTTTCTACTCCTTATAATCTTTCCTATTCACTCATTTTTATTCTGATGAAATATAATAAGCAGACTTGAAGAAATTTTTTTTATACTAATCTTGAGGCAAATAAAGGGAACTGATCTCTCAGGCCCCTTCCAAATCTAAAACTCAATGATTATCATTCTAAATATGAAATGCTATTTCTGTGATTTATTTTCAGTACACAACTTCTGCACATTATAACTCTTCTTTGCTTAGAAAATTTATTACAGCTTCTTGATGTTTAATTTGCTGTCCTATTTTATGTTCTTTTCCAAGTTACTGATTTCTAAGTGTTTTCCATCTTTTATCTGTTACTGCTCACATAGTTGTTTGTACCTAAGAAGCTTTGACTAAATAGATTTTAATTTTGTGATACTTCTAAGCTCTCTAAATTGCTTTATATTGTATTGCTATCATCCCAACACATTTAACCATGTCTGTACAATTAATAAACATAGGCTTCTTCTATGTCTAATTAAGATAAGGAGAGACAGTCCGCCTGGTATACTACAGGGCACCTGTGCTCACAAAAAGACTAGGCTAGTTATCACTACCCTATTTATAGTTCTTAAGCCCTGAACTCAGGAAAATTAAATTTTAGTTTATTTGAATTCATTATTTTCTCATTATATTTCATGAGCTTGGCAAAAAATAGCTCGAAGATGAAGAGTAATGAGATGAATTAACATTATGTCCCAAAGTAGTGTGGAATCTAAAATTTCTTTCCCCCTTCTCAACAAAGCAGAGAAAATAATTGAAGCCCAGGTGAAATTAACTCTAAAAAGCATAGGTAGATTATAAAAATTCACAGCTGAAGCTTTGTATAAATGGTAAATTTTCACCTTGGAAGATAGCTACAGTATACACAGAAATTTGATTATGGAAAGCCAGGCAAAAAATAAAATTACCATATGTTCATATTACTTCAGAAGCAGATGATGTTCCTGAGAATCAATCCTAACTATATTCCATTTTCAACATACAAATCATTTTGATGATGATGATCAATTATTATTTTTACCCTCTACCAGGAAGTTATAATTGGGCTTGGAATACCTCCATTGCAAATTTTGCTTTCTTTCTCTTTTCAGAGTCACTACTGACACCACGCTTGGCCCCGGGAAAACCCTTCACAGGCTGCATCCGCCACTTTGTGATTGATGGGCGCCCAGTGAGCTTCAGTAAAGCAGCCTTGGTCAGCGGTGCTGTGAGCATCAACTCTTGTCCAGCAGCCTGACACAACCAAGCACAGTTGCCCAGCATACAGAGTTCTTTAGAGCACTGAAATAAACATAGGGCCAGCCAGAAGGACTAGCAACTTCTCCTCCCGTGGAAGCTCTCATGGTTGAATGGGACTTAAATGAATTATCAGGGTATGGAGGCTTCTTCTCATTTGGATTCCTTCTTTGGACCCAAAATGTCTACAATGGACGATAATTGTATGGGTAGTAAACTTGTATTGAGAGCACACATAATTCCTGCTGGTGAAATGACTGTTCCTGTCTCTAATAAAACAGAAGGGATTCTAAATAAACACTGGCACACATTTTTAAAGTGAAGCTATATTCTCGGATTCATCATTCTTCTTTCAGGAAAGATAGCTTTCAATCTATACCAAAATATCTTTGTCCCATGCTATCATTTTATCTTAAAAAGATTTAATAATTTGTGTATAATCTAAAATTAGATGATAGATTTGCTTTTCTCCCTTTTACTTGATCTATAAACTTAAGACTATTTTAGTTTTATAGCTGCAAAATGGCAGTATAATTATTTCTAAATAAGAAAAAAAATAATTAAACTGATAATTCCTTACAAGAAAAATAAAATTACATGAAGGAAGGCTCATATATTATATTATTATTACTATTATTTTGTGTTGATATTACCAAGGACATTCATTACAACAGAGATAACAAAAATTGTAAAATTCAACTCAAAAACATAAAAGTCCTTTTATTAAAAGTTTTTCTTCCACATGCCTGCAACACAACCAATCTTATTTCTAAAATTTTAGAATCTTTTTTCCTAAGCATCTTTGTTAATAAAGCCTAGAAAAAGAAAAACAAATTGAATAGCTGCTAGAATATTAAAAATACAGAAATTGGGATTAAAAAAAAATTACATGTGAAAGGATAAACAACTCTAAAGTCCGAATGAGAGAAGACAAGGCCCCACAATCAGTAAGACAGAGTATACATAAAAGGAATAATTATTGAGGGAAATGGGTATAAATATTTTGAGGAATTACCAAAGGGAGTAAAAAAAATCTCTTAGCTTGAAAGGAACAAACACACACACACACACACACACACACACCTATTTATATTCCCCCACTAATTTTTAATCTCAGCTATATAAAGATAACTGACAATATTGATGAAAATAACTACATCTGTTCATAGAGGACTTACTGTCAGCTACCATGATAAGCTAAACTAAACTTGTTTCCGATGTTCATCATGTTAATCCTATATGAGACAACATTTGCAGCTCAGGTCACCAGTCCACTGACATTCAGCTAGATCTAAGGATACAGGGTTCAAAACAAGGCTGCCTGCCTCCAGCAGCTGTATGACTGCCCCCTTACTTCCCTGCAAGAGGAAGGAAGAATGCTTCCCTTCTAAGGTAAAAGCAGCTTTTTTTTCCTTTTAGTTAAGCTAACATATCAGTACTTCACACAGTAAAAATATAGGTTAAGTGCTCATAGTCATTCTGACCAATTATTTGTAGCTCCTGTCAGTGTCCCTTCAAAATGAAGAGGCCCTTGGATACCCTTGTCTTGAAGAATATTTGGGCCTGTGTTCCCCCACTCCTCCTTTCATGGCCAAAACTCCCTGGACAAGAAGAGAATCATCCTGTGGCTTCCCAGTTAAGCCCATTTCATACACTAAGATATTTCTAAATGTAAACTTTCAGTTTTTCTTCCCATCTTGTTGCTATTATCATCATACATTATTTTTATGTTATCCTTCCTACTAATTTCCTTTAATCACCTATGTTTTAAAATGAGGAAATGGTTTATAAGTTTATATATTTTCCATTTCTTGTGCTATATCTATAGATCTAAATTTCTATCACCATTTTCTGTCTGAAAAACTTTTTTGAATCTTTTAGTACAGATCTACTAGGGATGAATTCTCTCAGCATTCATTTAGCTAAGTCTTGTCTATTTTCATTGTTGAAAGATACTGCAAACATATTGTCATCTTGAATATATGTTTTCTGATGAAAAGCGTGCTCTCATTATTTTTGTTCCTCTGGTCATTTACTAATCAATTATAAGATTCTCTTTTTAATTATGGTACATCACTGTTTTATTTTTTCCATGTTTCTTCTCCTAGAAAGGGGTTGGTTACGCTGCTTGGATCTCTTAGTTTGTTCTTTTTATCATATTTGGAAAACTTGCGCATTATTTTTTCAAATATTTGTCTATCTTCCTCCTACCTCCTCCAGGGAAACTTTCTTATATACATGTTAAGAGTGCTTGATGATAAAACACAAGAATTCATGTGAAACAAAAATTTATGCTTTTTATTCATTCCTTTTTCTTCATATTCCATTTTGGATAACTTGAACAGCTATGTCTTTAAGTTCATTAGTATTTTATTTCCCATTACCTAGTGTTTTAATTCTATTCAGTGTGTATTTTTTATTTCAGATATTTTCATTTTCTAGTTCTACTTAGGTCTTTTAAAAACCTTCCTTTTCTCTCTTCATCATTGCAATTATTTCACATCTACTCAAAATATATGAGTATATTTATGGTATTTTGTATATTAAAGCTATCATTTATCATTCTATTTTTCTACTGAATGAAGCTTCTCATGACTATGGATTATATTTTCTTTCCATTTTTGCTTGCCCACTAATTTTTTATTATATGCTGATCATTGTGGATTTTACATTTTTGGTGCTAGATTTTCATTGTAGTTCTTTAAATTTTGAGTTTTCCCACACTTGAATACAGTTAAGGTATTTGGAATCAGTGTTGTCTCTTCAAGTCCTGATCTTAGCATTGTTAGGGCAGGTTCAGAGCAGCTTTCCCAATCCCCCAAGTCCACTCCCAACCCCACTCTGATAATACTTGCTAAAGACTCAAAATCCATATAATAAAAGAACTTTTCATCATGTTAGTTGAAACATAAATTATTTCCAGCCTTGTATGAATTATATCACTACTCCTTTCCTGTTATTCTTTTCCCAGCCTTGGGCAATTTCCTGTCTGGGTTTTCTTTTCTTCCTTTCAGGAGTGTTACACTTTTTATCTGGCATACAATTATGTTACTTAGGCATCATCTTGATTGTCTGAAGTCTTATTTTTAAGCTTTGTTAAAGTTGGTACACTAGCCTTTAGGCTAGAGCTAATTTAGTCTTCCTATAGAGACATGACTTTTTTGAATCTCTACTCAATATCCCACATGTTCAACAAGGTCTTTTCTCTTTTGTTGGTTGGAACTTGAATATTTCCCAGCTGTCAGTGTAAGTTATGAGAGTTTATCATTTTATAACTTCATGGCAGTTTTTTTATTTTTTAACTAATATAGTACATATGCATCTATGTACATATAATTATAAGCTAATAGATTTTTCATTTTAAAAAAAAACCTATGTATCTCTTCAGGGACAGTAAGAAACTGAGAGAATTTTAACTGATCCTAAATCAGTTCTTTGGAGAAGACAATTTCATTGGATGGATGGTGACAGCCATGAAGAGGAAAGGAAAAAAGCAGGCTGAGTCCTGGGTACTACTGAAAGAAGAAAAATAAAACATATAGAGCTGGCCTAGACCTCAAAGGTTATCCTTATCCTTTTACTAATCAAGTAAAAAGATCCATCTGAACTTTTTCAATACTGATAGACAATTTCAAGATGACTGGTTGGGAGTTGGGGAATAATGTGATAATGGGACATTTTTCCTGGAAAAGATAAGGGTTAAAACCATAGCCTTGACCTCATTAATAAATTTAACCAATAATCTGAGCTCCCATATGAAAGTAGTTAAAATACTTTGCAGATTAACCATGGACTAGGAACTTTTTTGATCTTGGGTATTCTTCCAAAAAGCACAACCCCAGGGCTCCATTGCTTACCCAATATAATTTTTGGCAGAGCATTATCAAAAGATTATCAAGCCATAAATGAGCTAGGGTATTCAGATGAAAGGACTTAGCTAAGTATCAACCTAAATATAAACAAAGGAAGTTAACTTAAAACACATTAAGTATTTAAAATAGGCCCCACCTGAGAAGAAGCAAGATAGATTAGGATCATCCCTCACAAAAAAATCAATTTGAACAACTATGTACATTAAAAAAAAAAACTTCATTAAGACCTAAGGAAACCAGGTGAGAGACCCTGATTTCACAAATAGTAAGAAAATTATGCATTGAAGAGAATAGAAAAGACAATTTTCACGTTACCCTCCCAACTGCTGGCAGAACAGCATGGAGAAAATCCCCATCTACTTGGAGGAAGGAGAGGGAAGTAAGCTTAGGAATTTGCCTTGTAATCCAGCACTAGGCCACCACAGTAAAACCTAGCACACAAAGCAGAACCTCTTGACTCAACACCAATACTCAGGGACAGAGCCCCTAGACCTACTTCAACTCAAGGTAGGAAACCACAACTCCAGGAGGATGAGCTCAAGTTCTGGCCTATGTCACCACCAGCAAACTATAGTAGCCTTGGGCCCTGAATAAACCTCAGCAGTGAGCTGGCCATCTGCCTGACATTGTGCTGGCCTAGCAGCCATAGGCTTTGAGTTTGACCAAGTACTACATTGGCCATGGCAGCCAAAGGATCCTGTGGGCAGTGGTCCTCAGTTTAGGGTGCTCCCTAAGACTGCAATGACTGAAGTTGTCATAGGCTTAGTGACCTGTTTAGGTTGACTGATTAGTCAACTTGCCTGAATCTCTGGACAAACTTATTCCTATGGAAACTTACAAACACACCCAAACAGTGAACACTGTATTAGGTACCTATGTCAGTGTGCAGATGTCAACTCATGGCCAAAAGAGTCAGGATCAACCAAAAAAACATGATGGTGTCAAATGGACAAAATAAGGTACCACTGACTGGTCTTGAAGATATGGAAATGGAATTACTGCCTGACAGAGAATTCAAAATAGATGCCTTACAGAAGTTCAGGGACTTCAAGTAATTGAAAAACAGTTAAGAAATTCATCAGAGAAATTTAACAGAGATTGAAATAATTTAAAAAAAAAACAAATAAAATAGGCTCCATCTGACTGATAGCCATGGTAGATTAAGTTTCATCTTGAATTATTAATATTAATGATCCAAGATGATCTCTAAGGCACTTCTAACTGTTAAATATTATTCTGCCTTGTCTGTTAGACATAACTGATAACTTATCACTATGTGTTTTCTACTGGTTACATTTCTCCTTTTTACTAAAATAAAATAGTTCAACTATTGTCATCATCCAACGGTGCCACCACTTTTATTTGTTTACCAGATCGTAAGATGATCTTGGCCCATTACCCTTGACCTAGTCAACCCTCAACAACAGACTTAATGATGCTATTTAGGATGCATTTCCTTGCTGCTTTGTGCAGGTGGCTTTCGCATTGTTGCATAGACAGTGATGGGAACATCAGTTATTGTCAGGCAATGACTTCCAGGGCATCTTCGGAGTTGCCTGAATAAAAGAGCAAATAACATGTAATAATTAGACACTAAACAGGAAAATTTTTAGAGCACCAAAGTTTGAGTATATATTCAACTGTTTTAAAACACTTTGAAATCTTTGAATGGTACAGAATAAGTATAACACAGAGGCATTAATGAGCCAAACATTCTAGGCTTATGTAGCATAGAAATTGTGGCTGTTGCCAAATATTTAATTACTGAAAGTTCACAAAAATCAAAATAACCCTCCAAATGTTTATTTTGAAAGGTATGCAGGAATTGCTAAATGGCAAATTAAAGTACACTGTTATAAACCTAAGTGATAATACCATGGCAATTCATTCATAAACGTACCTTAAGAATCAGATCATTCATACACTAGCCTTTGTGTGGGTATATGTTTTCGTTTATTTAGGTGTAGAATGGCTGAGTCATATGGTAGGTCTATGTTTAGCTTTTAAGGAAGCTGCCAAACTGTTTTTCCAAACTTTTGTATCATTTGATATTTTCTCCAGAAGTGTACAAGATTACCAGTTACTCTGCATCCTTGTCAACACTTGGTATGGTCAGTCTTTTTAATTTGAGCCTTTCTAGTGAATATGGAGTGAGATCTCATCATAGTTTCCATTTATAATTCTCTGATGAGTGATGATGTAGAATATTTTTATGTGTGTTTTGGCCCCTTATAGATCTTCTTTTTTGAAATGTCTGTTCAATTTTTCCCATTAAATATAGTTTGTCTACATTAAGATGTAAGAGTTCTCTATACATTTAGAGTACAAGTCCTTTGTCTGAATATTTTTTCCCAGTCAGTGACTTGCCTGTATGTTTTTTTTTAATTTGTTCTAAATGTCTATCAACAAGTAAATAGATAACAAATTGTGCTACATCTATGCAATGGAATCTTACTCAGCAATTAACAGAGCAAACTATTGATTGAATGGATGAATTTCAAAATCTTTTGTGCTCCTCAAAAAAAAAAAAAGAAGGCATAGTGTAGATTCCATTCCTATAAATTCTAGAAAATGCAAAAGAATATGTAGTGGCAAAGGTAGACCAATGGACATGAGGGTGCAGGGAAGATGGATTATTAAGGGTATGAGGGAACTTTTGGAAGTGATGGAAATTGTTGTCTTGACGGAAATGGTTTCATGAGTATAGACATTAGTTGAAGCCCATCAAATTGTAGTTTTATATGTGTAAAAAAGAATCATTTTAGTTGGATGATTTCAAATCTAGAATATTTATGAAAAAAATTGAACAAAATATTCCACATATAATCAAATGTTGATGGAATCTCAGGTTTGAAATAGGTCTTAAATGTCACTTAAAAAAATACATGTAGTGTCTGAATTTCCTTTCCTACATTCCCACCAAATACTCAGCCTTGAACACTTCTAAAGAAAAGCTCAAAACTTTCAAAGTAGCCAATTACATCCTTGAAAAACTACCTTATTAATATTAAATTTGTGATCCCCAAATCTCTAAACCATGAGAAACCTAACAATATATTATTTACTGTTTTGCTACAGAAAACAGCAAAAGAGTGAAACAAATCCTATTTATTTGTAGGGGTTTTTTTGCAATTTTGCAAAAATGATTTTTTTCATAGTCTTTTTTTCTGAAGATGATCTTTTTTAATTAGTTGCTCAAAACGTTACAATGATCTTGACATGTCATATATCATACATTTGATTCAAATGGGGTATGAATCCTTATTTTCCCACATGTACAGATTGCAGGATCACATTGGTTATACAGCAACATTTATACGTACTGCCATACTAGTGTCTGTTGTATTATGCTGCCCTTCCTATCCCCTTCCTATCTCCCCCTCCCCTCCTCTCCCCTCCCATCACCTCTTTCTACCCATCTACTGTAACACATTTCTCTCTCTTTTTTTCCTTCCCCCTCACACCATCTTATATGTAATTTTGTATAACAATGAGGGTCTCCTTTCATCTTCCATGCAATTCCCCTTCTCTCTCCCATTCCCTCCCATCTCTCGTCCCTGTTTAATGGTAATCTTCTTCTCATGCTCTTCCTCCCTGCTCTGTTTTGAGTCGCCCCCCTTATATCAAAGAAGACATTCAGCATTTGTTTTTTAGGGATTGGCTAACTTTACTTAGCATAATCTGCTGTAATGCCATCCATTTCCCTGCAAATGCCATGATTTTGTTATTTTTTAGTGCTGAGTAATATTCCATTGTGTATAAATGCCACATTTTTTTTTATCCATTCATCTATTGAAGGGCATCTAGGTTGGTTCCACAGTCTAGCTATTGTGAATTGTGCTGCTATGAACATTGATGTAGCTGTATCCCTGCAGTATGCTCTTTTTAGGTCTTTTGGGAATAGTCCGAGAAGGGGAATAGCTGGGTCGAATGGTGGTTCCATTCCCAGCTTTCCAAGGAATCTCCATACTGCTTTCCAAATTGGCCGCACCAATTTGCAGTCCCACCAGCAATGTACAAGTGTACCCTTTTCCCCACATCCTCGCCAGCACTTGTTATTGTTTGACTTCATAATGGTTGCCATTCTTACTGGAGTGAGATGGTATCTTAGAGTGGTATTAATTTGAATTTCTCTGATTGCTAGAGATGGTGAGCATTTTTCGTGTATTTGTTGATTGATTGTATATCCTCCTCTGAGAAGTGTCTGTTCAGATCCTTGGCCTATTTGTTGATTGGGTTATTTGTTTTCTTGTTGTTTAATTTTTTGAGTTCTCTGTATACTCTGGAGATTAGGGCTCTATCTGAAGTGTGAGGGGTAAAAATTTGTTACCAGGATGTAGGCTCCCTATTTACCTCTCTTATTGTTTCTCTTGCTGAGAAAAAACTTTTTAGTTTGAATACGTCCCATTTGTTGATTCTTGATTTTAACTCTTGTGCTATAGGTGTCCTATTAAGGAATTTGGAGCCCGACCCCACAAGATGGAGATTAGAGCCAACTTTTTCTTCTATTAGACGCATAGTTTCTGGTTTGATTCCTAGCTCCTTGATCCATTTTGAGTTAACTTTTGTGCATGGTGAGAGAAAGGGTTTAAATTTCATTTTGTTGCATATGGATTTCCATTTCTCCCAGCACCATTTGTTAAAGATGCTATCCTTTCTCCATTACATGCTTTTAGCACCTTTGTCTAATATAAGATAGTTGTAATTTTGTGGATTGGTCTCTGTGTCCTCTATTCTGTTATAACACTCTTGCTGCCAAAGATAGTGTCTAATTAAAGTGACACTAAATCTGAGATCTGTCTTTTTTCTATTTGTAGCCTTATGCCTACCACGGTGCCCAACATATAATAACACTAAAGGTTTATTTAATTGAGCATTCTCTAATCTTGAAAACTATCAATAAAACAAGCAGCTGAAAATTTACCAAAAAGAGAAATAATTACAGAGATACGAAATACAAACTCTATGTTTTTTAAAAAAAACTGGGCTCTCTTAACACTAATTTAATAACAGCAGTGTTTGAATTCCTGGGTTTTTTTTCTTGCTAACATTGAATATGTATTGATGATAGACAATACATATTTCTTCAGTTGTCAGGATGAGAAGACTTTACCTATTTGGTGACATCTCTTTCCCATTACAGGCAGCACTTGAGCTCAGCCCTGATTCTAGCCCAATTGAAGAATCTCCTCCTTCCACTGGAAACCTCCTTGGTTGGGTCCCAAACCGAAAAGGCATAATTCACTGAAAACCTAGACAAGAAAGTTAAAATAATAAGGGAGGGAGTTATCTCCAATGAGTTATTTGAAATTACTAACATTATTGTTTAACATTATTCTATATATATGTTTATATACATAGAAACATTCTGAAAGTAACATTTTAAAATATCTATAAAAAGGTAAAATACTAAATTATACAATTATCCATTACATAAAATTTTAATTCTTGTAACAATTACAAGACAGCCACACTAAGTGATAAAAATAACCTATTCCCTTTGGTTAACATAATTGGACTATGGTTAATATTAATAGACTTCAAGTCTACTACTGCTGTGTGGGAAAAAAAAGTCAGTTTGACTTCCAGTGGTTGTAATCAACAAACTCCATCTCTAACACCTCTCCACCTATCTACACTTGCTCTTCTCTTCCTCTGAGTTTCACACTCACCAAGATACCTTCAGCTACTCTTTCTCTTCCTATGATTATTTATTCCCCCCACCCTTGCTTCTCTACATTTACAATTCAGCAGAGTTAAGACAGTGGCCTTGAGAGGTTGGACTAATATGAGTTCAAATCTTAGTCTGGCCTTCTCCAACTATGTGAACTTAGTCAAGATACTTAATTTATGTTTCTCAAAAGTTGTGAATAACATTATCAACTTCCAGGGTAATAGTAAAAATTAAATAATATGTGTAAAGTACAATGCCTAACACTTAAGTGCTCAATAAATGTTGACTTATTACTCAGCAGATGCCACTGAGCATTAGTAAATATATATTAATTTATATTAGTAAATATTTATTAATGTATACCATGAATACCACATGATATATATGATGAATACACACATACACACACGCGCACGCGCATAAACTGTCTACTGTTGCCTTTACTTGGAACTCTTTCCCCATCCATTGTTACCACCCTTCACTTGCTAGGGCCAACTTACTAAGCATGAATTTACATTTCAGTTTCTTAGAGAAACCTGTCAAAACCCTCATCATTCAAGTTTTCATAACACCTTTATTTCCGTTTTGTAACAGTGACCATCATTCTAATTCAGGGTTTCTCAAAAACATGATACCATTGTCATTTAGGACCAGATGATTCTGAGTTGGGGAAGGCAGACTTTCCTGTACATTGTATAATATTCTGTAGCATTTACCCACGAGATGCCAGCAGCATCTTTCTCCCAACTGAGACAGTCTCCAGATATTGCTGAGTGTCCCCTGGTAAGGGAGAGAGGCAAAAATTTCTCCCTGTTCAGAAACACTACACTAGTAGTTTATAAATGTTTTGTTTAGTATCCCCCATTCTATGTCTATCTTTGTCACCACTCTAATACCCATAACAGTTCTTGAATAAATTTACATGTCTTTAACTATTAGCCCACAGAGGACAGAAAAAATAAAAAAATGTCTTAAAACTGTTTCAATGCCTAGCATTCTATGCCTAATAAGTAAATGTTTATTGGTGATACAATAAAACTAAATTATTAAGGTTTAAGAATTTGAATATTATACAATGATTTTTATAGATTGTGTCAATATCATGAAAAAAAAGTGTTTTGCTCAATAATTATTTAGTAAAACCATAGTTAACTCTATGGTTTAGTCTCTCTATCTAAGTATTAAGTTTTAGCTAACTTGATCAAGGAAATATATACTTACCAAAATAGGCCGAGTCTGATTCCGGTAGAGGTGAATAAATCAATTGCTTCTACTGACCTTCCATAGAAAGCTAGAATTGCCGAAGGAATGATGATCAAATGTTCCAGCAACACCCAGAAATTATGACATCAGAAGATTCTTTCACATAGTTTCCCACCTGCTGAAGATCAAATGTCTTAATAACTCTAGCAACAAGATGAAACTTGAATAAAATTTAAGCATTTCGGTGGGGGAGGGTGTAGCTTTATTCTTCTTGTCAGGGCCTTATTTTCCAACAATATTAAACATTCTGATCTACAAATGAAGAGCTACAATCTAATTGACCTGCACAAAATCATGTGTGATTCTTCTCACTAATCCCATTTTCCTCATTCTCTTTATCTCCCAGGCTTAACTAATAACACAAATAATTCAATCTATCTATATCCTCATCCTACTCTAACACTCTCAAACCCAAACCAAATTTCTCTATAGCTCTCTTAAATGGGAATATTCGTTATATTCTGGACTATCTCTCTAATCTCTGGACTACCTCTTCTTGTTTTTTCAAGAGATCCTAATTCCAAAATGGAAGAAATAATAACAACCCCAAAAGGAAGAACACATCTTATTCTGTCCTTGTTATTCTGTTTCCTTGTTACTGAGTTTCTACTTTGCTGATCACATCTTTGCATTTCTCTGAACTGCTCTCCCTCTCCCAACTAGTTCTTGGCTTCTGTATCAACAGCTTAATAGCTTACTTCACTGAGAGTCTGCCCTACTCAGTAATGCTTAAGTTTAACACTTAAGGCAGAAAATTACTCTTCAGTTAATAATTTTTCAATTGTCATTGGTAATCATTAAACTACTAAATGCTAGTGAAATTTGATGAAAATCTTATTATTACCTACATAGTAAACTAAGTTCCCACTGCTATGAATTCATTATGTTATAAAAGCTAGTATTTTATATAATAATTAAGTTTATGTTAGATAAAATCTTACCTCTACCTTCTTTTTTCTTACTAGGGTGTTATCTGTGAATGAGTTGATCACAATTTTAGTTTGGAGAAATCTAGTTTAACCCACTGTGTCACAGTCAGACAAACTGAAATAATTGCTGGCCATTGTTAGCTAATGCATCATTAGAACTTAAACATTTGTTCTTTAGGATGGCAAATTTTTTCAACAGTTTACATGATGGAGAGAAGGTAGCAGTGGAAAATGATAGATTTTGACATCAGAATTAGGTATGAATTTTAACACCATGTTAGCTCTGTAATTCTGAGCAAATCACCAAAAGTTTATATGGAAATGGTATTATAAATAGAAAGTAAAATAATCTCCTTTGCACATATTTAATCCCTCTAATTTACCATTATCTTAACTAAATTAAACTACTTTTAATTAAATGAGCTAGTTGATCATTTGGTATAAATTATGCCACATTTCATGCATGGATACAGTGAAACCAAACCAAATAGTAGTCCTAATGATCAAACTTTACAGTACTTGAGTAACATCAAGACAAAATGAATTAGACTCTATAGAAGATCCTTACGGCTCAACACAATGGTGAATGCCTGTAATCACAGTGGCTCAGCCAGCTGGGGTAGGAGGATTTCGAGTCTCAAAGCCAGAAACTGAACAAGACCCTAAGCAACTTAGTGAGACCTTGTCTCTAAATTAAAAAAAAAAAAATATATATATATATATATATATATATATATATATATATATATATATATTTTTTTTTTTTTAAAAGGGGTGAGGGGGGATGGGTTAAGTACTCCTGGGTTCAATCCCTGATACAAAAAAAAGGATTTTTACAAAGCAATGAGTAAATAAATGAAGTATAAATGAGAGATACAAAAAGATTATGAAATCTCTTAAATACTCTCTCTTAACTATCATAAGCCCCAAAATTCTTTTGATTATTGGGATATTAATTAATGAGATGTCGAAAAGGAATAATGTTTGAACTTTCATATCCCAAGAAAATAGAACTATGATTACACTTCATTCAGCAAATATTTTCTAAAAATCCACCATGAGCTCTGCATGAGTTAAACATTCAGGATAAAAGACTGACTGAGCAAAAACAAACACGTATTCTGCTCTAGTGAAGTTACATATTAGGGTAGGATATTTCTAGACTAGAATATCAAATCTAAATCTAAAGGATGAGTAGGCATTAACAAGGAGGAAAAGGGTAGGAGTCAAAGACACTGAGACAGGGAGGGGGAAAACAGAGGAAACTGTGTGCAAGGGTCACATGCTAATAAGACAATAAAAGATTTGAAAGGTGGCAAAAGCACAGCATTGAAAACAAAAAAGAGATATGGTCCAAGAGATAAGTACAGCCCAAACCACGCAGGAGCATAAACTCAAGTTAAAGATTTTAGATCAAAGGAGACTGCTGAAGGATTTCAATTTCTCAGTACACACGTGGAGGTTGTATTTGTTTTTATTAATTTTGTTTTCTAATATATCTGATTTTCTACTCTACTCTTTACTATTTCCTTTCTTCTATTTACTTTGGGATAAATTTTTCTTTTTCTAGTTTCTGAAGGTGTAAGCTTAGTCATTGATTTGGGACTTTTTTCTTTTCTAATATAATCATTTAATTTCATAACTTTCCATTAAAGCACTACTTTACCTACATTCTACAAATTTTGAAATTTTCTATTTTAATTGTTAAATTTTTTCTTTTGAAAAAATACATACTACAAATAACTTTAAATGCTTTCATCTTGACTTCTGAGTTATTTACAATTGTGTTGTTTAGTTTTCAAACAGTTGCGAATATTCTACTTTTCTGTTACTTATTCCAGTTTAGTCACAAAACAAACATTCTTTACTTGATTTGAATCTTTTAAAACTGATTGAGAATTGTTTTCATGGCCAGATATGCACAATCTTTGTAAGTGTTCCATTTATACTAGAAAAGGATGTGTCTTTTACTGTTAGGTGAAGTGTTCTATGCAGGTAATTGGTTGACAAAGTTGTTCAATTCTTCTATATTCTTATCTTCTTTATAATTGTTCTCTGATTGTTGAAATAGGGGCATTGAAATCTCCAACTATAATGGTGAATTCATATTTTTCCTTTCAATTCTGCCAGATTTTGTTTCATATATTTCAAAGTGTTGTTGTTATATGTATAAAAACATAGTATTGCTATGTTCTTTTGGCAAAATTAAACCTTTATCATTATAAAATATCTTTGTTAATCCCTGATAATATTCTTTGCTCTGAATTTACTTTGTATGAAATTCAAATAGCTTCTTTCTATTGGTGAATGTTAGCATGATATGTCTTTTCCTATTTTATTTTTAACCTGTTTTATTTTCATATTCTAAGTGGGGTTTCTTGTAAATAGTATATAGTTGAGTCTTGCTTATTTTATCCACTCCAGTGATAAACAAAGGTGTTTGGATTATTTACATTAAATTCAAACTTTTTTACTACATTCAAACATGCCATATTGCTATTTGCCTTTTACCAGTTCTCTGCTGCTCCCCCTTTATTAAAATTTTGTATTTTGGATGAACTTAGTATACTTTATGAATTGATTTTTTTCTGTCATTTGTTTATTTTTATACATCCTTGTATTTTGGTTTTGGTTTCTTCAGAGTTTATAGTATCATATCTTTTAACTTCTGACCTTCTGTCTTGAAATAAAATTATAACATTTCATGTATACTAAAAGAACTTGATTATAGGATATTCTATTTCCCCTCTTTTGCTATGTATTTTATTGTCATTTATTTTACTATTATGATTACCATAATATTTTAGTTTTTCTTTAATTATATTTTAAGGAGATTTTTTAAAAGAAGAAAAGGCTTTTTACATTTACATATGTATTTATATTTTCAATGTTCTTTGTACCTTTTGTGTACATCCACATTTTCACCTGACATCATTTCTCTTTTGCCTGAAGATTTTCATTAAACAGTGCTGATCTTCTGGTGATAATTCATGGAGCTTTTTTATTTATTTCATTTTCATTCTTGAACAATATTTTCTCTGGGTATAGAAATTTTTTTCCAGTGCTGGGGATTGACTCCACAGCATTGTGCATGGTAAGCAAGCAACTCTACCTCTGAGCTGTATCCCCAGCCTAAATTGAAAATTTTAAGTATTTTCCACATTTTGTTCCACTGTTTTCTGGCTTGCATTGTTTTTTACAAGAAATCTGCTGTCAGTTTTTCCCCCTCTATGAATGTGCCTTTTCTCTCTGACTTCTATGTTCATTCTTCATTCACCAATATTAAGCAATTGGATTATAATGTGCTAGGTGTAGTTTTCTTCTTGTTTCTTTTCTTCTTATATTTGTGGGTCCATAATTTTTATCACATTTGGAAATTTCACAGCCATGATTTTTCAAATACTCTTTGTTCCCTCCTCTAGACCTCAAATGCATGTATCTTAAGCTGTTTGAAGTTATACCACAGCTCATTGACCCTTCTTTTTTAGGAAAAAAAAACCTCTTTGTTCTCCATTTTATTTTGGAGAATTTCCATTGCTTTGTTTTCAAATTCATTACTTCTTTCCTTTGCAATGTCTAATCTGCGTTTTTTCACCTAAATATTGTACTTTTCATCCAGTTTGGATTTTGTTTGGTTGGTTTTCTTTTGGGGTTTTTTTGTCTCTTCCTAATGTTCTCATGCTTACTCTGCTTTCTTGAACATATGCTGTATATTTATACATATGAACATATGCTGTATATAACTGTTGCTTTAATGTCCTTGTTTACTAATTCTTTCATTTGTGCACTTCCTGGTGTGTTTTTAACTGATTTTTTTTTCTCATCATGGGACTTGTCTTTGCATACACAGAAATGTTTATTTGAATGCCAGACATTGTGAATTCACATTACTGAATAATTTTATTTTTAGTCCTCTAAGTACTTTTGAATTTTGGTCTGGGACACAGTTATTTTGAAACAGCTGGGCCTTTGGAAGCTTGGTTTTATGCTTGCTAAGGCTAGATTAAAACAGCCTTTCATCTAGAACTAGTTTGTCTCTACTATCTTTCTGAGAACTCAACTAAATGTTTCATGGACTATAAGAGCTCTTCACTTAAGATATCTGGAATGTGAATTATTAGAATCAGCTCTATGTGGCCCCTATGAATTGTTTTGTATGCTTATTTCCAGGGGCTTTACCCTCTGTCTTATGTAACTTTTACGTATGCATGCACTAATCAGTATTCATGAGCATCCCCTCAAAGATCTCCAGAACTTTCTTTTTTTATACTCTATCTCCTCTCTGGCATTCTGCTTTGCAAATTTCAATTGTCTTAGTCCCCTAGAATTCTCAATTTTGTCTCAATTCAAGGTACCATCAGGCTGTATTCTCTATTCATCAGGAAAGAAGTCACTATGTGTATCCCAGTCTCCAGGAGTGGGAATTACACAAGAACAGGAGAAGGAGATCATTGGGTGTCATCTTAGAAATTGCCTACCACAGATGCTGCAGGTCTGAGTATGTTTATACAGTACTAACGTTCATCAAATATTTATGAATTTATGAATTTCAGGAATTGCAATTCCTTGTACCTTAAGATTATTTGGAGTCCACATAACTAGTTTTGGCCAATAAATTATTAGTGATTATTAGCTGCCAGTGCAAAACTTTCTTGATCTGTCTTTGTCTCTGCTATAGAAACCAGAAATTCTTCTCATATCACATACAAAAATCAGCTGAAAGTAAATTAAATATTTAAAAATGAGATATGAAATTATAAGACCACTAGAATAAAACTTGGGAAAGTTCCACAACACTGGTCTGAGCAATGATTTCTTGGATGGGACTCCAAATACCTAATCAACAAAAGCAAAAATAGATAAGTGAGACTTCATCAAATCAAAAGCCCCTGCAAAACCAAGGAAATACTTAAAAGAGTAAACAGACATCCCACAGATGGGTAGAAAATATTTGCAAGCCATACATCTGATAAGAGACCAATATCTAAAATATATTATTAAATAACTTAATAAAAAGTAAACACATAGTGTAATTTGAAAGTGGGAAAGTTATTGAAAAGACATTTCTCAAAAGAAGGTATAAAAACAGCGAACAGATATATGAAAAGATGGCCAACATCACTAACCATCAGAGATATGTAAATTAAAACCACAATGAGATGTATCACCTCACACTCTTTAGAAGGACTATTACCAAAAAGCCCAAAGATACCAAGTGCTGGCAAAGGATATAGAGAAAAGGGAATCCTTGTACAGTGTTGGTGGGAGTATAAATTAATATAGCCATTATGATAAATAATATGGAAGTTCCTCAAAAAACTAACAATAAAACTACTATATGATCCAGAAGTCCCCCTTCTGGGTATTCAGTAGTCTCCCCTTCATTTGTGAATTTACTGTTCACAGTTTGTTATCTGCAGTTAAATACAATCCAAAAATATTACATGGAAAATTCCAGAAAGAGACAATTCATTAAGTTTTAAATTGCACTTTCTGAGTTGCATGATGAAATGTTATACTGTCCTGATCCATCCTGCCCATGATTTACCAGTTTGTCCAATATATCCTCCACAATGTATATGGTAACCACCTATTGGTCACTTAGTAGCTGTCAGTTATAAGATCCAACTATTGTGGTATCACAGTGCTTCTGTTCAAGTATTTTATTTATTAATCATTTTATTTATTAATGGCCCTAAAGAACATGATATATGATATGGCACTTTTATTACAGCATTGTGTTATAAAAGTTCTACCTTATTATACTACTAATAATTGTTGACTTATTATTTGCTTACCTTACAGAAATTATCATAAGTATGCATGTATAGAAAATATATCATATTCAGAGTTTATTACTATCTACAGTTTAGTAATAAACTATCAGGCATCCACAGATAAGGGAGGAACTACTGAATATCCAAAGGAATTTAAATCAGTTTGTTGAAACAATATCTGCACTTTTGTGTTCTTTGAAGCATTATTTGCAACAGCTAATATATGGAAGCTACTTCACACTTTTAAAAATTATTCATTAGTCCTTTAATGTGATGCAGCTCAGGAGGCTGAAGCAGGAGGATCACAAGTTCAAAGCCAGCTGCAGCAACTTAGTGAGGCCATAAGCAACTTAACAAGACCCTGTTTCAAACCAAAAAACAAAAAGGACTAGGGATGTGGCTCAGTGGTTAAGTGCCCCTGGGCTCAATCTTCAGTACCAAAAGTATATATTTATATTTATATATAAATATATATTATGATATTTTTATATTCATATATCATATATATGTGTATTTGTGTGTGTGTGTGTGTGTATATATATATATATATATATATATAGAGAGAGAGAGAGAGAGAGAGAGAGAAGCTACTTCACACTTTTTAACTGTTCATTAGTCCTGAAGGTATGTGTTTCGGTCTTCAACTTTCTCAGTTCTTTAACTCCATTTTATTTCATTTTTCATTAAATATATATTTACTATCTACTGTATACTAGGCAAGGTTCTGAGAACTATTGGTATAGTAGTAAACAAAGAAGGCAAGGCTCAGTCAGCTCTCAGAGAGCTTATTTCTCAGTATATTATTTTAGCATCTTGTCTTCAAGTTCCTATTTTATTATATTCATATTCTTTTGATTAAGTTCTTCTATAGCACAGAGTATATATGATAAATTTTCTTTTATCCCCTTAGGTTAGCTTTTGTTCCAGACCATGTATTTCATCCATATTTTGTATGCTATCCTATTTCCTTTTATAGTAACAGTGTGCATGACTCTCAATGATTTTTTTGTCTTGTTCATATTTAGCATGTGAAATGTCCAATCTGTTTTCTCTCTGTGTTAGTCAATTATCTCTCCAAGCCTACTGCACTAAAAAATCTCAGTGGCTTCAGGCAAAAAAAAAAAAAAAAAAAAACACTTTTTTTACTTAAAGGACAATGTATGGCCTGCTGTTCAGCTTTTCTTACCTCGACCAATATGGATTTGCCTATATTGAGGTATGGAAGGTTCTACCTTGCTTGACTCTTAAGCAGAATCATCTGATTCCCTCCAGATTAAAGTTATCAATGAGATTTGTTAGTACTTTCTTAATTTAACTTCTTTCCCATGTGCATTTTCTGGAGAATAATGACTCCGGGAGTTGTAACAGGGGTACCACTGGGCAAAAGCCAGAATACCAGATGAACTGGCACCATAACTCATCAATAGAAACCGATTCACATCACTACCTACAAAATTTGTTCATGTTTTCCAAATTTAGAAAGCCCCAAACTTTGGGACTTCAACATTAAGAACTGAAGTAACACACTGCATCTCCACCCTGACGCCAAGCTTACCAGTAAGAATTTAAAATCTAGTAATTACAAAAATTTCTTGATTAAAGGTGCTGATTATTACAAGATATTTAAATATTAAGGTGAAAAACACAAATGAAAATATGGGAAAGCCTCAGCCACATAACCAACCCATTTCAACAAAAAATTTATCAGCTATCAGAAAAATATATAAATATTATTAGTCTTGATGGAGGAATAAGGTGTTATAAATAATTAAATAGTATGGCTCATATTACCACACATTAATGTCATATAATTTTTTATTAAATGAAGAAGGTTTCTGTAGTTTCTCAGGATTTCTGTGTAAAATGTTAATTTCATTTGAAGTACTTGAGTTATTTATTGAAATTTGATAAAAATTTGTGGCATTTTTTAATATTTGACAATTTTAAAGAGTTGACCTTTCACTAATGCATGATTTTTCATTTTTCCTCCTCTATCCCATCTAAACATTGTACATACATCAAATGCTTTAATCCCATCTCTTCCATCGGACTTCTATTTACCTGGCTGCACCCTTGCCCAACGAATGCACTATTGTTAGCGCCGCCAATATTATTTCGAGTATTTCCTGCCCGTGTCTTCAATTGACTGTAAGCTTGTTGGCGCTAGATCTGTCTTAACTCCTTTTGAGTCCTCCAGGGGGCCTAGAAATTAATGTTAAGAGTATACAGCGCTCGACAAATACTGGTTGGGTCTCTGAACTTAGCTTTGTCCTTTGTGTCTAAGTGTACTTAATTTCGGTTGAGCCCTGGCACTGGGTATCCGCCCGGGATTTCTTTGTCCTCCTTGACAGTGCTCGTTTTCTATTAGAACAAAGGGTTTGTCGGATCGCCACGCTGAAGGGAGCGTCCCGTGGAATCTGAGTAAACGGAATTTGACCCACTGCCCAAATATTGAGACTGTGGACTAAGACTAAGCCTCTGATAGCCCACGCACAGTTTAACGACACATATTTAAAATACCACTCCAAATCCTGGTTATCCGTCAGTTACCCCGGCCTCCGGAGCTGCAGACGCTCAAAGATGTTGACAAGGCAGCGAGGATCTGCGGTCTGGTCGCTATGGTAACGGTGAGATGCAAGTGCGCTTGCGCGACCTTCTGACCGACCGCCCTCGGATTTCCCAAACCTAAAGAAGTGTTTAACTACGGTAGCGACTTGCGACGGCAACGACTTGCGGCAGCAGCGTGACTTACGGCTGCCCCCTAGTGAGGAGCAGTTGCGGACGAATGAGAATGCGGGATTGGGTTCGAAGGTGTCCTGGGCGGGCTACCTTCCAAAATGACCCAGTCGGTGGTCGTACAGGGTGAGCTGCACCGGGGCATGGGGACTCGGTCGCCGCAGAGCTTAGCAGTCGCTTCCCTACCTAACGTTCATTCTTTTTGTTCCTCTCCTTGGTCGCAGTCGGCCAGTGCGGAAACCAGATCGGTTGTTGCTTCTGGGACCTGGCCCTGAGGGAGCACGCGGCGGTCAACCAGGTACTGGTACCCGCCGAGTCCCCCTTGCCTGTCACAAAGAGCAAAACAAAACCAGGAAATGCTTTATTTGAGCACTTATCTGGATATATGAGATCTTGTCAGTGAAGAACGTGACTTTTTTTTTTAACGTATGTTGCTATTAGACACACACCAGTCTAAATAAACACTGGCCAGAAACCTTAGTCATAAAAGTTTTCCTGATTCTCAGGGTCTCCAATTTTTTAGTGTTCTTGTAAAGAGCAGTAAGTATGTGAAAGTACTTTATAATATAGGCTACACATGTGATTATTAACTAGTTCACTTGTCAAATGATCACCAAGAATCCAGAGAAAACTCTTTGATTTTTGGAGAAAACTCTCAAATTCTATGGAGAAGTCTTTCATCACCGCCTGCTGAACTCAACCTATAGATCTCTTTGCATTTACTCTGCACTACAAGTCAGAGAATCAATCTAAACGTTTTTATGATGCTTGCATTTTATTATGACCATTTACTAGCTATTGCATCATTTAATAACAAGAATTATTAAAATTGAAAGGACTTTATTTGGACAAGAGGCAAGACTTAAATTTTATAATTTGTTTTCTTTTTAGAAAGGAATTTATGATGAGGCAATAAGCAGCTTCTTTAGAAATGTGGATACCAGGTAAGATGGTATTAAAGTCTTAGCATGATGAATCTTTCTTTTCATGTCAGCAGATTAGGAGAGAATTCTTTAAAGGACAGTAAAAACAGTTGATAGCTATAAATTTTTCTGGCTTTTTTGTTTGCTTTTCTCATTGAAAACATTCTCATTTTATCATTAATACTCTTCTGTATTCTGCAGAACAGGACAACAAATTTCCTTTTCAGGCTTTATTGAGGAGCAGAAAGAACCTTCAGTGTATTTCTTTTAGCTTAACCTTGAAATAAATTTTCACTAAAGCTGAAATTTTCCCCAAGAGTATCTTGTTAATGTATCTAACAATGGCTAACTTTTGAAAGTATTCTTTACATTTCCTTGATATGATTTGTGATCAGGAATACTTGCTCTAAGTATAGAATGTGCTAAAAGGAGAAAAGATGTGTAAACTGCTTATAATCAACATTACTTTTGTTTCTTTAATGAAGGATATATGTATCATAAATCTTTTATATGAAAGAGGAATTTGATGTTCAGGATATGTCCATAAGCTTTTAATGTTTAATCATTAAGTTTATATATTTTCAAAGTACTTCCCAAAACTAATCGTGGTGGACTTGCATTGGAAATTATTCTCAATATCAGTCTTTAATTCAATAAAAACTCTAGTTCTAGTCTGAATTAATTGGCTCAGTATTTGAACCATTATTTTCTAGTAAAGGCTAATTACTCTTCACTTTGTTAGTGAATTCTAGGGCCTAGTGCTCAGGCATGCAAACTCAGAAACCTTGTTGTTTGCACCTTGAGAATGGATCCATTGCTCTCCAGTATAATCAGATTAACCCAAACTAAAAAAAAGAAGAAAGACAGAAAGTGAAAAGTCACTGTAGTAATGGACAAGGAAAAACTATAACTCAGAGAAATTATATTCACATTTTTTTCATCGCAGGCAAATTCTCTTTTGTAGGAAATCTACCAGATAATCAGAAGGCTTTTTAGTGACCATGGAATTAAATTAAAGGAAGTTAGGAGTGTTATCTTTTTTTTTTTTTAATATTTAGTTTTTATTTATTTGTTTAAGGTGAACACAATATCTTTATTTTATTTTTATGTGGTGCTGAGGATCAATGACTGTTATCATTTGTCTTTAGTATATGGAAATAGCTATTTATAAAGACCGATTCCATCTTATTTGTGGCCCAGAACATCCTTTCCCCTAAATACTATTAGGAAGCTCAAATCTGCCTTTGTAATATTTCTTTCAAATGCTTCCCTAGCTAACTAAGTTCCTACTCTCACCCCTTTCTTTCTTGATAGACAATAGTTTCATTACATTACATAGTTGAGACTCAGCCTGGGAGCTTTTCTTGCTTAATACTTTATGTAATGGAACTCATATATTCTGTGTGTTGTATACTTTAACCTGAAAACACTCTTATTTTCCCAAAATCAAGTTTGGGGGAGAAGAAGGGGGCTGAGGTGGACCACCTTATTCTTTCTATATACTTTCAACACATGAAGCTTCTGTTCTACAAATGGATACCAAAAAAATCTTTTTCAAAAATGAGGCCACATCTTAATGTACATTTCTTTATCAAATTATACATTTTTAATAGCATGATAGAAACTTATAGCAGGAGCTGGCAAACATTGTCCATAAGTACCAGATAGTAAATATTTAATTTATAAATCATAATGTGCGTGTCATAGCTACTCCAGAGTCTTTATAGCATGAATGCAGTCATTAATAGTACACAAATAAATGGGTATGGCTGTGTTTGAATAAAACTTTTAGAATAGGCAGCTAGTTAGATTTGTCCTGAGGATGGCAGTTTACCAATTCCAGGCCTGTAGTATCTGCATTTAACTCTGCTTCCCTTCATATAATCTGCTTTTTGTGTACTGTCTTTATTGACCTATACAAATGTTTGGTTATCGATTTCAGTACTTCAGTAACATTTTCAATATAAAATTCTAGGAACAGCCTTAGTTTCTCAAAGGTATTTAACTGGTATATCAGTTAATGGGTGTTTGACTGCAACAGGAAACCTCATTAATGGTAGCTTAATCAATAGGGGTATTCATTTATCTCACAAAGAAATCTGGAAATAGGATTTTCAAAGGCTGGTGAAATGCCTCAAAGGCTTGGATACCATATGTTTCCCTGTCCTTGGTATATTAGCTTTTTTTCCACCTGTTTATTACTTCATGACTAAAAAATGCATTCTCTTCCCCAGGAATCACATCCACAGTCATGTTTGAGGCAGGAAAAAGGAAGAAAGTTGGAACCAGCTCCATTGGGTTCTTTTTATCAGAAAAACTTCCAAAAATACCTATCCTTTTATCTCTTTGGTTGAAACTATATTACATGGCCTGTCCTAACTATAAAGAAAGCTAAGGAAATAGTTTCTCACTTTTTCAGCCTAATAAGAGATAGGCCTGGCCTGTAACTAGCCTTTTTGTATATATGGAAGTTCACATTATTAGCCATGGAAGATCTTATGACCTTTTTTATTTTTTATTTTTTTCTTTCAGAGTGGTTGGTGGTGGTGGCAGCATTTCCAAGGGGAAAATACGTTCTTTGAAAGCACGAGTAAGATATATATGTATGCTTGACATTCCATGTGTTTTTCAAAACAACTATTGTTTCTCTAACTTGACCATAAAATTTTAGTTTGACTTCTTGAAATTTAAAAAAAAATTTTACTAAGCTATGTTAATATTAATAAAACTAAGCAGACATTTGTGTCCACCTGAAACAATAAGGGGCAATTTTCATACTTAAACACTAGATATAGCAATTTGTTTCATTGTTTCAGGGGAGATACATATCTAGATAAATGATAACAAAAGAAGCCTTTTTAACTCTTAAGAACATGTAAAGCAATAAATACAAGTTAACTTTTCATTTAAAGATAATGGAAAATTAATTTTCATCAGGATTATTACCAATTCAAAACATGGATCCATCCACAATAAAGTGAATAAATTCATAAGCATATAATTTCTCCTGCATAAAAATGTTTTGAGTCAAAAACCATATGTACAGTTTTAATCTCATTCCAGTATTTCTGTGATTGTTTCTGTACAAACTATTTTCTGATTGTTGATTAGTAATCAACAATCTTGATTATAACCAGAAAGAATGGTAGTTTAAATGCTATGGAAGAATTTGAGGTGCTAAGGGTTCAGACCCGGTATAATGACAGAAAGACTGGAGAGCTGTAGTGCTATGGCATCTGGAAACCATCTCTTGTTCCTTTGATCTCTGATGTCCTTGAAAGCAAAACTTAAGGTAGAGATAATATGCTTGTAGACTGTTAGAATAATTGGCTTAAACTTGATGTACTTAATGGTGTAGAGAGAGCCAGCATCACAATCTAAACCTTAATAGAGACTTTGACATTTCCCGGATTACTCCCAATTTGACCTCTTTCCAACCACTATCAGTGAGAAAGGTGGGAGGTGGAAGAAGCACTATTAGGAAAGAATGTAATCAGCATGCTGAAACTTGTAACTTTCCCAGAGGGTACTCTACCATTTTCTGCTTAGGAAGTTCTGGTATTATGTGGCTATGACCACTGAGGAGTTTGGACTTTGCAAGATAACTTGGTACTTGGGTGCCTCCATAGTGTCCAGTTAATAGGCAAATACTCATAATTTCGTAAATCTTATTATTACAATTAGGAAAAGGCTGTAAGCCTATTACCATGTGGCTCTGAAAGGAAATATAAACATTCCAAGTCCTAGAACAGTTGTGACTCCAGACTTTGGATGCCTAATTGAGGAACCCAGAATACTCTCAGGATTTAATTAATTTCCAGAGGAAAAACAAATCAAGGACTTGATATGACTAAGAAGAGATTGAAAGAGATATATAAGGATTTTAATGCTAAGTGACTAGAGCAATGATTCTACTAAGAGGGGCCTAAATGTCAGTTTGTATTCTGCTTATTGCTTCCCTTGCCAGATAGTGAGGTAATCAAGGGTGAGATTCATGTACCTTTAATAATTTTCCACAAATCATCCCAATAAATCTGTTTTGGAACAAAACCAATATAAGCTGATTTGTTCCCTTTATAATCTGATACAATATATAATACTACAATTTGCCCATGTAGTAAAATCCTTCTTGTGGTTGATTAGGTGTTAAAGCAAGCAGGTAAGATAAGAGTTGCATGTTGTCAGAAACACCCAAAAAAATCCCTAAAATTGCCAGTACATAACCCTATGTAGTCCTAGGCATGTAAAGTATATATATAATGATTGCTGTATATAAGAGGGGTACATTTATAACACGTGGTTTTATAGTCTGTGTAATATTCTCTATAATTGTACATACAATAGTAAGTAGCATAGTTAATTACATAAATTAACAGTTTGGGGGGGGTTTGTTTGTTTGTTTGTTTGTTTGTTTGTTTTTTAATACTGGAAATTGAATCCAAGGGTGCTTTGCCACTGAGCTTTTTTTGTTTTTGTTTTTGTTTTTTATTTGGGTTTGGTTTTAGTGATTTTTTTTTTTTCTCTTGGTTTATTTTGTTTTGGTTTTGGTGCTAGGGATCGAAGCCAGGATCTTGTATGTGCTAAGCATACACTGTACCACTGAGCTACACCCCCAGCTCTCATCGTAAAGTATATGGAAAGTAAAGTACAAGGAAATGCGAAGAGGGGACACATAATCCTACTGCCAAGCTATTCCTGCTTACATTTTGCCATATTTCCTTTCAGTTTTTTTGTTCTATTTTTTCTTTCTATGCTTAAATTTATGTTTAATATTTTTCTTCTTAGTATTGTAAAATTTTGTGATAATGAATCAGATTGTGCTGTATAAGGGGTAAAAATGGGAGTTCATAACCCACTTGAATCAAATGTATGAAATATGATATGTCAAGAGCTATGTAATGTTTTGAACAACTAATAATAATAAAAAAAATGAATCAGATTGTGAATTACTTGGAGAAAGGGACCCTCTTGTCATGTTTGATATCTGTCTAGTGCCTTGACTTTTGCACATAATAGTGACTTTACTCATTTGGATTGAATGGTTGGGCCATGATGCATAAAGAACACCATGACTGCATCCTGTGTTTGTTTAGAACTTTTTCTCGTTAAGATTACCCTCTATACTTCTAAGACCTGGTTAGATATTCAATTGCAACGATTATTGGGTTCCTTTTTCCCCCAGTTGGCATATTAGAGTAGGACAAAAGTTCTATCTTTAGAGGAGGGTAAGATTACTTTTTAATTCTTAACAGATTCTATATAAAGAAAGATTTTGATTAAACTTAAACTATAGAAGGAATAATGCAATTTATAGCTAATAAATTCATTGACAGAGAAAGTAACTCTAAAGGAAATGCCTATTTTATTTCTCTTTTTTAGGCTGTCTTGATTGACATGGAAGAAGGGGTAGTGAATGAAATTCTTCAGGGACCATTGAGAGATGTATTTGATAGCAAGCAGCTCATCACTGATATTTCTGGCTCAGGAAATAACTGGTGAGAATATGCTTTATATAAACATTGAATGTTATCTGAAAAAATTAAGCATTCTTTATTTGGTTGGGTCCCGCTGATATGAAAGCAAGATATACTATTTTACAGACAGAGCTAGCTAGGCCTTTCAGCCCTGTCTTCTTTTTTGTAATAAATGATGGTGTTTCACAATGCTTCAAAGCCACATGTATTTACTTTTACACCTAGTTTCTTTTACCTTTTTTTTTTTTTTTTAAGAAAAAAAATGAATCGGGAAAAACTGATTTTATAAATTCTTCTTTGTAAATTAAGTCTCCCAGTAACCCCCTAAACCCCACCCAGCTTATACCCAGGGGCACTTTGTCCCTTTAATTTTTAAAATTTTTTTTAACTTGTGTGTATGTGTGGTAATGGGGATTGAACCCAGGGGCACTTTACCGCTAAGCCATATCCCCAGCTTTATTTTGAAGCAGATTCTCAGTAAATTGCTGAGATTGGCCTCAACCTTGCCATCCTCCTGCCTTAGCCTCCTAAGTAGCTGAGATTACAGGTGTATGCCACCATGCCCTGCACAGATTTATTCTTATGTAACACTAAGTAGTAACAGAAGTTTAAAGTACTTTTATAAGCTGTTTTCTTACTTTCATTATTTGAAAGTTCTCCATTTGGTCAGAGTTAATAGAATTGATACAAAGATACAAGTCAGACCTGTCTCCTAGCATACAGGTCTGACTTACCTTAAATGGAAACAAAAACTGGGCAATTAAAATCTTATTTTGTTATTATATCTCAAGAGAAAAGTTGAGAAGATGAAATTAGAAAACCATAATTTAGGATCCTTTGCTAATGAGTTATCTTATTAGGATATTTGAGGATTATACATAAGTAATATATATAAAATTTTCTATCTAGTATCTTCAACATAATGCATATGACTTACTGAAGCAAGAATAGATTTTTACTTAGTATAATTAAAATGTTTTTAAGTTTTTTCATTATCTTTTTATTTAGAACAGAAATAATAAAATCAGAAAGTAATAAATGCAAGAATTTTATTTTTCCTAAATCTGTACTCTTATTTTCAGGGCTGTGGGGCACAAAGTTTTTGGCAGTCTTTACCAAGAACAGATTTTAGAAAAACTCAGAAAGTCGGCAGAGCACTGTGATTGTTTGCAGTGTTTCTTTATAATACACTCCATGGGAGGAGGTAAAGTTATTCACTCATTTGACTATAACAATGTTAAAATCCAATTGGGAATTCAATTTGCAAACATAAGTCTTGCTTTCAGACCTATGCTTGATAAAGATATCACTATTTAGAGTATGTGTGTGTGTTTGAATGTTTGTACATTACAGCTTACCTTAAAATTCTGTAAAATTGGGTTACTAGTACGAGTTTTGTTTTTAAGTCCTTTTTAAGAGACAACAGAGCTAAATTGGAAAATTTTTTTCTTTTATCTTTAGCTTCTTTCATAAAATTTTCAGCCACATTTCAGTATATAAGCATTTTGGGGGAATACTTGTTTTTTCTCAGAGTTTGCTTGTTCAGTCTTATATTCTAACCAGGACTAAGCATTTCTGCACATTATATTTACTTACCAGAGAATATCAATATACTTTTTTGTGGTCCTAGAGATTGAACCTAGGGGCACTTAACCACTGAGTCACATCCTCAGCCCCTTTTTTTTTTTTTTTTTTCCTGAGACAAGATCTCACTAATTTTCTGAGGCTGGCCTCAAACTTAATGATCCTTCTACCTCAGCCTTCCACACTGGAGTATAGGCATGTGCCACTATACCCAGCATCAATATACTTTCTTTAACCACCTCCACAATTTTCTTATCTCCAATAAGAAAATAAAAGTAAATTCTTTCCGTTAATTTCTTTAAATCGTCTATTACATGGTAATTAATGCACTTAAACTAGAAAATATGATCTACATAGCTTTCTTTGCCCAGGGACACCTGTAACTTAGAACTGAAGTATTTTGTTTCCTTGATTCATAAATTAGAAACAGAATATAATTTGCTAATTTTAAAATAGGATTAACAGATTTTTAAAATTCCATACTTTTTCTCTCCAAGCTGAAATTGATTTTATATTCAGTACGTTATATATGATTGACATGTCTTTATTCACTGTCATGGCATTTTAAAATTGTATTTACTGTGTAACCATGTCTTTAGAAGACCATCATAATCAAGACACTTTTATCTTTGAATTAGTATAATACATTTGTGCCACTATAGCTATAGGCAATATTCCCAGAAAGGAAGATGGGACCGATGTGAACTTTTTCATTTTGGTTGATATCACTAATATACTTTCCTACAATATTGTATCTATTTATATTAGCCACAATATATAAGTTTCCACTTCCCTACACTGCTATTAAAGACTACCTAAAAAAACATTTTTCATATAGTAATTCTAGCATCATAGCCTTTTCATATTTATCTGCGTAAGTTAGGTCAATGACATGATACTTTTTTAACCAGAACAAAAAGAAATACATTTAATATCCTAACACAACACTCCCTACACACACACACACCCATGCACACACACACGGACTGAAACAAAAGATTCAGAAAACCATATTTACTTGTAATATGTGATGCATTGATAAAAAAAAGTTTATGACTCACTAATAGTTCACATTCTACCGTTTAAAAAAACTCCAATTAGAAGATCCTAACTTTCTCTTAAAGTTCTTAAAAATTTCTGAGTTTACCTGTGTGCAGTGACACACACCTGTAATCCTAGCAACTCAGGAGACTGAAACAAGAGGATCTGAAGTTCAAGGCTAGTCTGGGCAACTTAGTGACACCCTATCTCAAAAAGGGCTGGAATTTAACTCAGTGGCAGAGCACCTCTAGGTTCAATCTCCAGTACCACAAAAGAAAAAAAAAATCTGAATTTATATAAATGAAATTTATGCATCAGAAAAGAGTCTTACTGAATTGCTTAGCACCTCACTTTTTCCTGAGGCTGGCTTTGAACTCGTGATCTTCCTGTCTCAGCCTCCCGAGTAGCTGGGATTACAGGCCTGTGCCACTGCGCCCAGCTTGACTCATTTTTTTAAGTTACTTAATGGCATGACAGTTTTCTTCATTATTAAGATTGTATGTATACTATACCAATGCTGTCAAGATAGGGTTTTTTCCCCTTCTAAATTGCTTGATATTAAGCGTACTTTGAATACTGTCTTAGTTGAATTTTTCACTGTTCAGTTCTCTTGACATCTAATGGTTTAGATATATGAAAAAGTGAAATATAGAAACCTATCCCAAAGTCATAGTCACAGTCAGAGATGGAATTCAGGACTTTGAGTCTAACTACCCATGTGCCCTTTATCTGAAATTGGATTAGCTAATACATACTCACACAGAAATAAGTTGAAAATTATTTCTACAAATAAAACAAAAATTCCAAGTTCCTCACAATTATATTCTGAATCATTCATTGCTATTTTCATTTTGAAATTTTAATCCTCAGGAACAGGATCTGGACTTGGTACATTTCTTTTAAAGGTGCTTGAAGATGAATTCCCAGAAGTATACAGATTTGTGACTTCAGTTTATCCTTCTGGTGAGGATGATGTCATAACTTCACCTTATAATAGCATCTTGGCAATGAAGGAACTTAATGAGCATGCAGACTGTGTGTTGCCCATTGATAATCAAGTAAGAAATGACATTGGAACTTATGAACAAAGCTTATGTACACTTACACCTGCTCGTGCATTTACATGAACCGTGCTCTTCAGTATTAAGCATTCTAAGAGAAAAAAAGAGTTTAAATTGTTTTTCTTTCTCTTCTTTCCTAGTAGCTCATCTGTGTCCACTCTTCTTAATAGTCTCTCAAATTTTTCTCTCAAAAGTCTTTATTTGACATCATTAGCAAAATTGACCTCATGGTGAATTCTGGAAAGTTGGGTAAAACTGTGAAGCCCAAGAGTCTGATTACTTCAAGTGCTGGGACTTTTAAAAAGCAGCACAAGAGGCCCTTTGATGCAATGAACAACATTGTGGCAAATTTGATGCTTAACCTAACAAGGTAACCCTGTCTAAAAACATGACTATGCTTTTGATGATGTTTTAGATTTTTGTAGATTTAGATTTTATTATAAGTTGTGGGAACTTTTTTATTGTATTCTTTCATCTTATATTTTTATCTCTTGGAATGATATCTCAGATTTTAATTCCTATGACTGTGAAGCAGCTTTCTACAAGTACATTTTATGAAATATTAGTGGGTATTTGATAATAATGATTTTATGGTAGACGCACTGGAGAAGTATTTGTTCAAACAAAATTAAGATTTTTTTTGCTATAGAACATTTTAATCTCTTACACCACCTACTAATATATAGCTCCTTGTTAGCTGATCCAAAAGATTTCCATAACTTTGATCTCAAAGATTTCTTCAACATTATTGTATTGCAAATTGTAGAATGAATCAAGCATATTAAAAAAATTATTAAAATTTCTATAATAATTATTGACCTAAAGTCTGTTTTAAATAAAATACTTTGTATAATGAGCAGGTTTAATAGTATGTAGTTACACTTTAGGTAATCTAGAAATAAGAATTGCTATAGATGCTATATTTTGTATTTTAATTAATCCTTACACATAATTATTTGTGATACTAACTTTCAGTAATACCAGAAAAAGAGCTATATCTAAACAGAACAGTGTACAAAATATTTGAGAAAATGCCTGCCAAATAAGTCAAATTATATTAAAAGTGTATGTTTTTAAATTTAAGATGTTTTCTCATTGTTTTAATGTCAAACTTTTAGCTCTTCAAGGTTTGAAGGATCCCTTAACATGGACATTAATGAAATCAGCATGAATTTAGTTCCTTTTCCACAACTTCATTATCTTGTGTCAAGCCTAACACCTCTATATACACTGGCAGACATTAATGTTCCTCCTCGGAGGTAAGATGTAACTTAATTTCAGTTTCTTCAGAACTGGACATACTTTTAAAGAAAATTTAAGAGAAAAGTTTATAGTAATTGTAGTTATGTCATTTTATTTGTGAGAAGTGTATAAAATACAGTCGATAACAGCCATTTTTTCATTGGATGAATGCTTGTTTAGAAGTAATCATTTAAAAATATCAAACTATTTGAAATTAAATCCAATGGTGTAATTTTTAGGCTTTGGGGAGTTTTAAAATTAAAGTTTACATCAGTTTATTTACAGACATTGTGGTTTTAAGGTAATCTTATCATGTACAGTGATGATGAGCCTGAAAAGTTCACTGTGGCATTTACATTTGAAAGGAAAAAGGTCCTGCCAAACTCTGTAGATAGTATGTATAGATTCCAGAGTCTGGAATATATAATAAAACTAAAGATTCCTTTTTATAGTTAAGATTCTGGCAAGAAAATGATTCTATGGTGCAGAAATATTATAATGACATTGATAAACTTTCATTTGAGCCAGTAGCAACCGACCAGTTGTGCCAACTAACAAGCAGAATTTCTTTTCTGCATGGGATCATAATGGCCTTGTCATGTATGTACCATATACAGTGTATGAAACATGTTGATCATTGAATGTTTACTACTATCAGCCCAGCATATTAAATTAGTATATTTAATAAGTAGAATTTACACTTTTAATGTGGACACACATCCCACTAATTATAATAGTTCCTCACTAGTTTTTGAATCTTACAAGAAAATAACCTATGTGTCGGCCTGCTTGTTGTGTGGGGGCTCTTAACTTCTTCTGAGTATCAATCTCTAAAGTAATGTCTATAAGTCAACTTCATAAAAAATGCTCAAACCACATGCATTCCAAAATTTTGAACATAATCACAAAGGATTGATGAAATTCCCAAAACTCACCAGCCCTTTTAAGGAGTCTGCCCTCTCTCCTTCTGTGGAGTAATCAGCATAGAACATAATCTTCATTAGGGCAAGAAGTTTGTTTTGTTTTGGGTGGTGTGTTTTGGTTTTGATGCTGGGGATGTATGGAACTCAGGGCCCTGTGTGTACTAGGCAAAAATTCTATCACTAAGCTGCATCCTCAGCCCAGGAAATTTTTATACTGTATTCACTGCTAGCCCTCTTGTGCTTGGAATACATAATAAATACTAGATAAATAAATAGCACAGATTTTTGCAACTCTTCCCACTTATTCTGTAGGTTCAGCACATAAAGGTCTGGCTAGAGTTAATCTCAGTAATCTCATCATATTTGTATTGAGTTACATGGTAATTAAGAACTAAAGTGGGGTCATATTCAGGACCTAGAATCTGTACATTGTTAGATACAAACTATCAGTTACTTTTTTCTTCCTCTTTTTAACTGAATACATTCCTATATTTTTTTTATCCTTCAAACACAAGACTTCAGTTTAAAGTCTTCCTCTTTAGCAACATTACTACAAAGTTTAATCTTGCATAGGAGAACACCACATTGTCCTTTGATAGTTTCCTCCTAATAATTAATTTATTTATGATGTATTTTACAAAATAATGGTCTTAATATAGCTTCCATTAGTTTTAATAGTTGTGATACTATTGAATTAGATAAGCATATTCAACTGAGCAAAAATGATACAAGTTTCAGAAATCACTACCACATTGAGCTAATGCTACTCAACATTTTGTAATTACCTAAAATCACCAATATACTGAAAAAGATTTAAAAAACAAATGAAAAAGATGTTACATAATTATTCCTAATATTTACCATCAAGATTACTTTGAGAGAATGATAGATATTTTATATATTTAGAATACATGGTATATATTCTAATTTTAGTATAGTATTATTATTTTTTTACCTATGGATGACTATCTTCTCATTTTATAATAACATATTGAAAAACTTTTTTTTTAATAAACAATGACTCTTTATTGTTCTAGGTTGGATCAGATGTTTTCAGATGCCTTTAGTAAAGATTACCAACTAATTCAAGCAGATCCCAAACATAGCCTATATCTCGCCTGTGCCCTCATGGTTAGGGGAAATGTACAGATTTCAGATCTTCGCAGAAATATTGAAAGGTTTGGTTTCCATTTTTCAAAATAATTTATGTGTACTGCTTGGAACAGTGTAACATAGTAGTTAAAACAACCTCTCCTCAAATTATAGCGATGTCACTTCCTCAAGTATGACCTTGAACAAGTTACTTAGCCTTCCTGTACCTTATTTTCTTTAAGTGTAATGTAAGAGTAGTAATAGTACAAAGTTGTTATTTATGAATATTATGTGATACATGTTCTGAAAGTGTTCAAAAATTGTACCTAATATTGTTCTTATTACCAACACTATTACTACACAGCTTGTGTTTATACTCTATTTGACAGTTTATTATTAGAAAAACTACTCCATTGAATTACAAAATTATAATACCCTCATTTCTTTTTATATTCAGATTTCTAATCTTTTTTTAAATAATTTTTAGTTGTATATGGACAGAATATCTTTATTTATGTATTTGTATGTGGTGCTGAGGATCGAACCCAGTGCCTCACACGTGCTAGGCAAGCACTCTACCACTGAGCCACATTCCCAGCCCAGATTTCTAATCTTAAAGGATATATTTCTAGCTTTTTCAATCACCATCATAGCTGAATTAATGTCTTCCTATTAATGTCTCTTAGCTCCCTATCATATTGTCCCATGATACTGTTAATAGTTTTTTTTAAAAGGATAACTTAGATTATAAACTAAGCAATTAGAATCGTACCATCAGTAATGACTCTATTTAATGTGCACTACCATCACGTGGTATTTTTGTATCTCAGTTCTTACCTTTTTTTTTTTTTGTATTTCAGATTAAAACCTTTTTTTTAATTTCAGATTAAAACCTTCTCTACATTTTGTCTCCTGGAATCAAGAAGGCTGGAAGACCAGCCTGTGTTCTGTACCGCCTGTGGGCCATTCTCATTCATTATTAGCTTTAGCAAATAACACATGCGTGAAGCCTACCTTTGTGGAACTGAGAGAGAGATTCATGAGGCTCTACAAGAAAAAGGTAATCATTCACCTTCCTTTGTTGTGGCTCTTTTAGGTGTATCACATTACAAATAAGGACCAACCTCATCTACCATTTTGTTGTACTGACTATAACTAAAGTGGAGAAGCTTACTCTAAATGAGATGTATTTCCTGAGTGTATAGGATTTAGGCAAAATATTTGACTGAAGTTCTCATTTCTGTTGTGAAGCTGAACATACTATAATTTTAATAGTATTTACCTTATAGGACAGTTATATGTATTAAAGTCCCTGGAATGGTAATTGTTACCCACTTTTGTATTTATAGGCTCACCTCCATCACTATCTACAGGTTGAAGGGATGGAGGAGAGCTGTTTCACAGAAGCTGTGTCATCTTTGTCAGATCTTATCCAGGAGTATAACCAACTAGATGCCACAAAGAGCATGCCTGTGGAGGACTTCCCTAGGCTAAGAGTAGCTGTGTGAAAAAGAAACCAAGAAATATGATTGTCACTTTTTCCTAATTTCACATTTTTTTTTTTTTAGCATTTTTGTGATTTAGAAAATTCACTTTGTTTTTCATATCAGAGTATTGTCTAAAAAAGAGTGGTTTCTGTTTAATCACAATTCATTGATACCAGTGTGTGAAATTAGTAAATCCTATTACCTTCACTATAAGCGGTTTATAAAATTGAGAGAACAGAGTTCTTTAACAATTTGCCTTTGCTTTATTTATTGCCTAATACTTATACACCAATAATCATGTCTTTGGTAAAAAAAAAAACTTGTACAGATATACTTTTTATACTTATTTATAATTTATATTTTGATATTGTTTAAATTGATTCTTTAAAAGTATATACTAGGAATTGAAGAACATAAAATATAAATATTTCCATGTAATATCCACTAACTTCAGAGACAGGCTTTATTATAACTGTTAAAGAGATTGTATTTCTTCTATAAAAAACTTGTTTATACTATGTTTTAAATTATTTTTAAGTATCATTGCTTTTTTATCAATCCAGTTGATTTTGTAATAAATGTACATATTTTCAAACAGTACTATTTGTTATTTTACATATCACCAGTATATAAGTAAATAAAACATTACCAAGCTTGATAACTTTCTTCACTGGCTATGTAATAGTCTATTGAAGTTGTTCCAGTTACTATAGTCTCCACTTTGATTCTTTAACATTATTTTTAGTCATATCATTTAAGGAAGTGATTTGTAGGAACAGTTTGTTTTCAAGACAAACTAATCTGTTATGTGCTTTCTTTAGTGTTTGCTTTTAAGTTTCCTTTGCAAAGTAATACTATTCTTGGTCTTTTATCTTGGAAATTTAGTTTTTCATAGTATTTATACTAAACATAATACATTGTTTATACTAAACATAGTACATTTGTTAACAGTAGCCAAAGAAGCTTTATTTTCTCTTTCCCAAGAGAAATCTTAACTGATAGTATAGGGCATTAAAAATTATAAATATGTTTATAGTTTAATCTTATTTTTCTATTCAGGAATACAGAATCTTTTTTGCCCTATAATGATTATCTGATAGAAGCCTACATATTGCCACATATAGATTAAATTTTTAAAATTTAATATGCCTTTTTACACCTCATTAGCAAAGTGTTCCAGATTATTTTGTAGAATAAAATATTTCCTTATAAATTATGCTTTTATTATATATGGACTGCTTGTGTGGTACCAAAATTATATCATTATAGCATATATTTTAAAAATGAGTTCAATTTCAGGTTTTTCAGGTTTTACATATATTTTTAGAACCTCTTTTAGATACTTTTGATATCTTCAATGCAGTTACCAGAGAATATTATGTTTTAAACTCAAAGTATTGCCAACCTTTTATAACCACTCTAGTTTTTTGATTATATGACATGACAACTAACCTTAGCTTTACAGAATCAAGAGCTCAGAAAACATATCTCCAGGTTCCCTGCAATTTCTTTGACATACACAAGATGTAATCCAGAGCATCTTCCACTTAAATGAGCCTTCATTTGGGCAATCAAATTGGATGGTAATCATTTTAGACTTATTAGGAATGCAACATCTTTTATCCAGGCATATTCCACAAAAAGTGGGTTTGTAACTCTGAGTACTTAAGCACCCAGAAAAGAGAAATTTTTCAGCTTTGGAGAGTTGGAAGATAGGTTGGCATCTTTTTCCTTTAGGAATCTGAAAAGATACATAAAGTTAAAAAAATCATTCTTTACAGTTGATTATAGTAATTTAGAAAAATATTATGTAAAACATTTTAATAACACCTCTGTAATAATAAAATTATTTCTGATACCCCAGCACTGAAAAAATAATTATTATTGCTGGGCATTAATATTAGTTGCTGTTTAGGAACTTCCAGCACTCTTTCTTCTCTTCCTTTAAAACCCCCTCTCACCAGAAATCTGCCCTCCCTGTTCATACCATCACATTATGACACTCTCTTCAATGTTTCTTGCTGTCTGTTCTTTACTCAATTCCTCAATAAGTGGAATTTTCTTTAATATCAAAGACTATGGCATATATCTTAATTCCTTTAAAACTGGGTTGTCAACTTGCTGATAAGATAGGGAATGTGTTGGTAATCAGAAGAATTTTACAGAATTTCCAAAAATTACTCCTTTGAGACAGTTGTCTAGTTTAAGAAATAGGACCAGCCAGGTGTGGTGGCACACACCTGTAATCCCAGCAATTCCAGAGGCTGAGACAGGAAGATCCAAAGCTCAAGGTCGGCGTCAGCAACTTAGCATGACTGTCTCAAAATAAAAAAAAAGGGTTGGGGATGTGGCTTAATGGTAAAGCATCCCTGGATTGGATGACCAGTACCCGCTCCTGAAAAAAATGGGACCAGATCTAGTTATAACAAAACAATCTTAGAGTAAATATTTTCTTACAGTCCTTTGACAGGTTTGCTATCTAGTAAGTACAGAGCATTTTGGAAATTGTGTGGTCTACTTCAAAGTTGGTGATATATAACTTAAGATCAGATATTCTTTACTTGATGGTCTTAATATCTGTTTAACCACAATTCTGTATTCATTACTTTGATTCCACTATGTAAAATTATTATGGAAAAGAAAAAAGAATGTAAGATCTACTCTTAGAGAACACTATGTAGGGTTACCACAACAAATCAGGCTAATCAAGACCCACATTATTAAGATATTCTAATATCTAGGATCAAGAAGTCAGCATTACCTCTACTAGGTAAAACTTTACCCCTCAAAGTGTGATTAGTATTTTCCTCTGAGATAATTTAATTTTTGAGAGTTTCAATAAGATGATTTTATTTTTATAACAAAACCCTACCACCAAAACACACACACATTATAACTTTCTAGGAATTTCTTAATATTGAATTATAATTAAATGAAATCTAATTAAACTTTACCTTTACTGTATGTGATATATTACTGTTGCATGGCTGAATATAACATAGTCTTTGCTCTTTTCTCATTTTACAGTTGCTATTTTCATTGGTGACCCTGTTAGATATTCCTATCCCACATGTTCTGGAGCAGGGAGTCCACTTTGTAGCTTGCACGAGACATTTTCTTTTCCAACTAAGTGGAAGATTCCTAAAAGCTAAAACAGAGAGAAAGTACATATGTATGTATATTTATGAACTTGTGTAGACAGATAATTTTTAATCATTAAGCTAATAAAGATCTTTATGAATAATGTAACTCATAATCAAAGAAGTTTATGGTCTAATTCATTCTATTTCCCTTTTTCTTGCCACCCAAATTATGTTTTAATCAAGTATGATAGACCAATTTCTTAGAACGAATTAAAATTCTGTATCTTTAAAAAACTGAATAGCTTTACTCATTTATATCATTCTAGCTTATCCTGAGTATTAAATCTAAACTTATGTTCTGATTGATACATACCATTTTGATTCTGCCTCAGGCTTGATATTATTCCAACAGATGTTGAAATAAATGTTGGTAGGATTAGAGAATTAAGATATTAATCAGAACAGTATGATCATGTTAAATTTTATGATATATTAAAATCCAAAATATAAAAGTTATATAAGTCATTGCGAATGTGTAATCTTTTATTCAGCTTCTTTGTCACATTCCCTATAGTTTCAGGCCCACAGTGCTCTCTCCTTGGGCTAGCCACTTCATATCATCCATGGAAACAATGAATGGATCCATGAATGGGTCTGAAGTGAGTAGACAGAGCCCCTCCACTGTCTAGTGCTTAGGAGAAACAGAAGGAAGAAAAGGTAAATGACTCTTCCATCTCCATGTAAATTCCTGGGAGATTGTTAGACTCATGAATGAGTCAGGTCCTTGGTTCACTTGAGCAAACTATGTGTTGGTTTATTGTCTCAAGGCATTTCCTTAAGATTAATATATATCCTCTATTGGATGCTTTGGGAGGAAGGTTGTAATTTGAGTCTGAGTTAAATATAGCAAAGTTCAGACTGTGTTACTTTAAAATATCAATTTAAAATTTAAAAGATCCAGAAAAAAAAAATGCCTTCTTGATAGACAATATCAATCACTCTGAAGTATGTGCTATATTTGTATAAAGTGATAACATAATACTGCTTTCAGTGTTATTACAGTAGGATCTTGCAGTGCTCATAGAGCTGAGAGGAAGCAGAAACATGAAGATACCTGGAAGGTAGACAGCAGTTTTAAAGACCTCAATGTAAAGCTGGGTAGGGTAGTTGCACACCTGTAATCCCAGCTGACCAGGAGGCCGAGGCAGGAAGATTATGAGTTTGAAACCCCATCTCCAAAAAAAAAAGAAAAGAAAAGAAAGAAAGAAAAGACCTCAATTCGGGAAGCAGATTACAAGCTTGTCACACATCTGCAATAAATAAAAGTAGGTTAGGTTATGCATTACCAGTAACCCTGATTAAAGTTAAATGAGCTGCAGTTCAGTAATTTAACATTCATTAAAATGCAGAAAAACTGGAGGCGATTTATAAAGTAAAAGCTTAGTGTTCATGAGCATTGAGAAAGGCATGACAGCATTAAATGTCATCTCATGCTTCTCACTGACCTAGCTAGCAACAGCTAGATTCCAACCATAAACTATATATTACTATAACAAATATATCTCAAAGTGTGTGTTTTTGTCGTGGTTAATTTTTAAAAGCCAAATTCTTACACGGATCATAAATACATTTCCACAGCTAAGCAAAAGAGAGACTGAACATATACTTCCCTTGAAATATAACAAGGTCCAACTCTCAAATACCAGAGAGCATTTGGGGAGATTTTTCTCATTTTTTAGAGCAAAGCACTAACCACCAAAAATGACCAGGGGATGGCTCTACCAATCAGGCTCCAAGTGAATCCACTGAAATTGATCCAACTCTTCAAAGGAAACCAACTTGAACTTGATGCAAAAGGCTTTCCTTATGGAAGACTGCTGCTCTGAGGTTCTGAGAATCTTCTGAGTCACTCATATTCTGTACAGAAAACCAACTGTTTCTGTACATTTTGCAAAAGGAATAATTTGGGGACTGATAGTATAGCTCTGTGGCAGAGTATACACTTAGCATATGCAAGGCCCTAGGTTCAATACCTAGCACCAAAATATATAAAGAAAAGGAAATAATGTGGCTTATTATTTTAGAGCATGAATTTTGTCATGCTGTTGGCTAAATAATCGTGTGGTAAATACAAACTCACCACAATCTATAAATTTTTTTCAAATGAACTAACATAATCAGGGTCCCTGGGTATATTATTTTCATAGAGTTAGTTTTTTTGTTGTTGTTTATTTATTTTTTATTTTTTTTAATTTTTTTGTATTGAGGATTGAACCCAGGGGTGCTTAACCACTGAGCCACATCCCCAGCTTTTTTTTATATTTTATTTAGAGACAGGGTCTCACTGAGTTGCTAAGTGCCTCACTAAATTGCTATGGCTGGCTTTGAACTCATGATCTTCCTGTCTCAACCTCCTAAGGGATTACAGGCATGTGCCACAGGGCCAGCTCATAGAGTTAGGTTTAAATATCTAAAACTCTTTTCTCTGATTATTATTGTTTTTATTGAATATCCACATAATAAAAAGCTTAGAGTTTTTAACATACACCAATATTCTGTATCTCCATGACAATATTCACTGCACGCTAAATTCAAGAAGCTGGCATCAGCATTGCCCCTTTTGAGTACTTCCTCTCCTGTGCTTCATTTGCTGGTGTTTTTGAAATTTCTGTCCTGAAAATACTCTGACACTTAAAGAAGGGTGATAACTTGAAAGCAAACTAGAATTCTGTTTGCACTTGCAAACATCTAGGTACTCAACTAATAAATGCTCATTTCATTTTTCCAACTACATACATGGGTAAGCTACTTTTAAAAGCCTCTGTGGGAGGCATGTGTAAATGTGTGTATTTAGAGAAAGCGGTAAATTGTTGAACTTCAATTTTAGAGTGAATAAAAGGACTTCATTTTTCTAGTTTTAGAAATAATATTTACAAATTCAAAACATGTTAGTCCATAAGTATTTTTTACTTAGTCGTTTTGCATTTGTTTATATCATATAGAAAGGTTGCCTTTGAAAATTTGGAGAAACAGATGGCCAAACTTCTGCCTATAATAAAACAATACAAATAGAAGTTTTCCCAGGATACATGAGAACAATATTTGGTTAGTTTTCCTTAGGAGAGGTTGGAATAAGCAGAGGTGTAAAATTTTAGTTTCCTGACCTAGTATAGCTTTTTTAAACTGGAATACTTTTACCAGAATATACCTGCCTGAGGCAAAGACTGAGTGGGATGGTACACTCAGACTACATCTTACATTGATCACCCATTCATTCTGTACCTGTGATACACAAAAGGAACATGAAAGAAAGCCACCAAGTCATATATGAGAAATAGCTCTATGTATAAGCACCTGGCATCGTCTTGAAGCTTGTTGAGAGCTGCCTTTGTAATGGTCCCATGCTGCACTTGGACTGATCAGAATTCTTTCCATCTTTAGCTCTAGAGCACTGGCTGTCAGCCAGCTCGGGTATGAACAGAGGAGTGCATCCAATTGCCCCACTCACACAGAGGCAGCTAAACAGGGGGTTGGGCTGAAACACTTGGCCATTACGATAATGGACCCTGTTGAACTCACATCCAACAGCTACAAGGTCTGAAAAGAGAAAATTGTCAAGCCATAATTTGAGATAGTTGGACTTCCAATTATACACCTTATAAGATGTAACTATCTCCTTCATGAAGTATAACTCTAGATTTTTTTTAACAGCTCTAGATTTTTAAGGCCCCTTTGGAACCGCCTTCACAGAACATCTGTCTAAAGGTTAAAATGAGCATTTTCATCAGATTGTAGGTTATAACCCACAAAGGGACATTATCAGAATTAAAAACAAATAAAAACTTTGTTCTGGAGAAAATATTTTTTTGTTTTTGGGGGGTTTTGTTGTTGTTTTGTGAGGTACTAGAGATCAAGCCCAGGGCCTTGCTCTTGCTAGTCAAGCACTGAAATTAATTTTTAAAAATCATAAGCAATGAGATGATTATAAACTGAAGAGGGAGGTTTAATGCCAGGTGAGATGGAAATTTCCCCAGACATCCAACAGTAAGCTAGAATATATTCTTTAGAATATCAGATAAGTGAATGTCAGAAGAAATCACAATTTATTTATGATTTATTTAACTATAGTATGGTAAGGTAACTAATTGAAAATTAGAGGAGATTTTCACTTCATTTTGAGTATATTCTTGGCCTTTTGGATCAATAAATCCCCAAGTGTGTTCTACTCCTTGGCAATAGCTGAGATGTTTTCAGGGAATCTGTGATCAAGAATTTTCAAAATACTATGGCAAGCTGGCACAGTATGGTGTACCTGTAATCCCAGTGGCTTGGGAGGCTGAAGCAAGAAGATCATGAGCTCAAAGACAGGCTCAGCAACTTAGTGAGGCCCTAAGAAACTCGGTGAGATCTGTCTCTAAATAAAATGTAAAAAAACGGCTGGGAATGGAGCTCAGTACCACTGGTGGTTCCAATCCCCAGTACCCAAAAAAAAAAAAGAAAACAAATATAGTATTAGTGATGCATGTTTTTCGTTGTTGCTATTTGCACAGAACATGCAAAAACAATGGACAATGGTACTAAAACCCCTTGTACCTTATCATGATTCTAACTGTACATGTACTTATATTTTTCCTTGCCATGCACTTGTGCTTAGAAAAAAAAAAAAAAAAGCTAGTTTTACCTAAGAATATATCCCTGGTAGCACAGTAAACTTAATAATTTTATTAAATGCTAACCATTGAGTACATGTCTATTTAATACTCTGTATGATAAAATCAGAAGTATACACGGACCGTTCTGTGTACTAAAGTACATTGGCCATCATGAGAAAAAGCACCATACTATTATTCAAATTGTGGCATGGGCTATCTAATTTTTTTAGTGGGAATTTTACTTGAAGAAATAATTTTCAGATAATCTATGGTTATTCAGATTTGGGTATTTTGGAGACATTTTCTTGAAAATGTACAGAGTAATCCTGTCGCTTCAAGAAAAACAATTGACAACATTGGTTGCAACTATAGAATTCAAGCTTTAAAGCAAAAATTACAATTTTGGAAAACATCTACCACTGAGCTCTATTGCTACCCAATACGTAGACTTTTCTGAAGAGAGTAATATCAGTGGGATTTTTAAAATAGTATATAATGAAATCTAGTTTGAACATCTACATAATACAGTAAACCAATGCATGGAATGACAAATTTATGCATGAGTAAAAGACCCATTCCAAGTGGGTCTTGGATATTTTAATGTCACCAAATTGAAAGGTTATTAATATACTTTCAGATTTTATGATGCTGCTAATTTTTAATGGACTACCACTTACCACATTTAATATAATATTTTTTAAATACATTCATAATTATTTGAAGTGTTTACTAAAATATTTCTTGCTTTTCTGATTATATATCTATGTGAAGTCATATTTTCTTTATATATTTCAAGCAGAAAAATAACAGCTTGGCAGAAGCAGATGTGAGAATCTAGCTTTCTTCTATTAAGCTAGATATCAGAGAGATTTACAAAAATGTAAAATCATGCCACTCTCTTCACTAAATTTTTCTGTCATAGAAAATATTTTTTTCATCAAAATATATCATTCCTATTAATTTGCAACAGGTTTGTTATGTTTAAATAAATTTTTAAAATTCCTAATCCATTAAATATCAGTAGATAAAATCCATATAAACAAAAGTTTTTTGGATCCTTATTAATTTCTAAGACAGTAACTTTTTTAAAATCACTGTTATGGTCAGAAAGCAACAAATTTTCTCTAAAGGGCTAAACAATAAGTATCTTAGCCTTCGCAGGCCATATAGTCTCTGTACTACTCTGTCATTGTAATAACCACAGATTCTATGTAAATGAATGAGCTGTGTTCCATTAAAACATAGTTTACTGTCATAGTGAGCTATGAGCTAGATTTGGCCCCTGGGCAATAATTTATGACCCCCAGTTATACATTATCCCCATTCCCATCCTCATGTTTACTGGTGAAGACATCACATTTTAGGTGACATTACTTGTAGAAAAATCTGATACAATAAACTTTGGTTCTGTGAGGGGAAGGCCCATATCTCTTTTTTCCTCTGTTGTATTCTGACTTACTGGCCATAATTCCTGGCTCAGTAAAGGATGCTAAGTGTTGATTAGATTACTGAAATAACCTGCCCAGTTTGGGAGAAAGGAGTATTCTGAATGCCAAGGTCTTTGATAGGTCATGGTTTCTCTATAGAATTTCCATAAATAAGAAATACTTTTGAAACTCTACTGCATACCAGATACTGTGCTAGGTGTTTTAGGTTTTATGTCATTTATTTCATCTTCCCAAACAGCTCTATAAACTATGAAGTACATGTAATGTAACTGAGGCGCAGAGAGATTAATCAACATGATTAGGAGTCACTCTGTTAGAAAACCAGGATTGAAATCCAGATCTCTCATTCTTAATACAATATGGTGCTAACAAGGGTGTCAGTTGTTAGACTTGATGGTCTCTTCATAGTCCGACTCCAAAGACTTACTCTCATTTCATGCTCAACCTAACTTCTGGCAGTAAATTACCTTCCCACTTGAACTTTTCTATAGAGTGAATAACTACCCTACTGACCTATTTTTCTTCCCTTAGGAATTTTGTTTTTTATCCTAAATGACTTGGCATTCTGGATCATTACCAATGTGTTCTAGGTGTAGATAATCTGAATCAGAGTTTCAACCCAAAAAACTGAGGGTCAAGTTGTGCTTTGGGGTGACACCACCTTCTTTTTTATAAATCTGCAGTAAAATTCGACTGTACTTGGGAAGGCTGAGATTAAAGCAGTGTGTATGAGTTCTTGATATGTACCCTTTTTTTTACATCATATATTGTTATGCCGGATTATTTTTTAGTTACAGAAAAGGCTGAATTCAGATAGTTTCTGACAATGTTAACAAAAGCCATTGTTTTGTGGCATGTCAAGAAGTCAGACTGTATAAGTTCTCCTGTTTCCTATCATTATAAGCAATTACCCGTAAAGAACTGCAAGATCGCTTCAATGCAATGAAAATAACAGATTTCTGAACATTCATAGGCATCTGCTCATATCCCATGGTGTCCAATATAATGAAGCCAGTCCCACTGGTTCACAAAAACTAAACCCACCTTGTACGTAGCCAGACTAAACTCATCATTCCAAATTAATAATTTAAGGAGAAGGAAATCTGTCTAGACTCAGCCTTTTCCAGTGGGTTCAGAAAAGGACACTTACATGCACACACTCCAGTCTCGTACCTAGGCCTGTCTGCTGAGTAGTCACAATACAGCCCTTTGTGCGGGTCACAGAGGTCAGCCTCATTACAGATGTCTCCTGGTTGTTTGGCACAAATTTTGCAGCATCCACAGCCATCTCTCACCAAACTCACTCCAGGAGAGCAGCGGGGCTTCTGACGGGAGCACTTGCAGGGCCAGTGACAAAACTGTTTACGCTGATGTGCTTCTGTTGCTTCTCTGGGCCCTTTTTCAGTTGTGTCTAATGGCCCTGTGTCCTGTGCCCTGCAGCAGAACTTCATTTGATAATAAAGGCAATGTTAGAAATGGTTCCTCAAAGTAATTTCAGAAATCTTAGAGAAATAGAAGATTTCTCTAAAATAGGTAAAATACAATGTGGTGAGTTACAGGATCATTAGCACTTAACACAGTTCACTCTCTGGAAATACTTTCTTCACTTGGCTTCCAAGATGTTGCTTTTTTATTTCTCCTCTCTCACTTATTTCTCCTTCTCAATCTCCTTTGCCACTTTCTTCTTGTCCTTCTGATGTCTAAACACTGGAGCAGGGGTTAAGACCTCTGAAGTACTTTTCCTCAATTCAGATTTCCGAATTCAGACTCAAACTTCCTAAGTAATATCTCTACATAGGTTTTTAACAGGAAAAGCAAACTTAATCAATCAAACCATACTCCCAATTTTCCCCTCAATTTGCTTTTCCACATACTTTCCTATTTGAGCAAATGCCCATTTCACAATTTTTTCAAAACACTTTGCAGTTAAGGTCATTCTTGACTTCTTTTATGTTTTACATCCAATCTTGTCAATAAATCCCACTGGTCAAAACTTTAAAATACACCTCCCCTGACCATAACATTCCTTTGCTATTATTTTGATCCAAGCCACTATTATTTTTCACTTGGATGATTCTGGGAGCCTCCTAAAAGTTCATCTTGCTATTTTCTTTGTCCACTCAGCATTCAAAATGAGTCTTTTAAAATATGCCAGATCACACGACTCCTTGCTAACAGGGCATGGCTTCCCAAACGGCTCTCCAAGGCCCCACACCATTTGGCCCTCACTCCCTATCTTCTTTCGCCAACTCCCACTCACCCCTTGACCACTTCGCATCAGCCACAGTGGCCACCTCATTCTTTAAGTACTTCAAGCGTGCACTGCCCTTAACTATCTCCAATGCTCGCTTTATTTAGATCTGCTCAAATTTCTCAGTGAGGCCCTCTGCCCTCTCTAAAAAGAGCACCCTACCCCTGCCCTTTCTCCAGACACATCTTATCACTTGCCTCATTACCTATGTAATGTTTTGATTCCTGCATCATGAGAGCAAGGTTTTTACTTCATACCTTTCTAGCTGACTCCAGAAAAGAAAAATGTTTATTAAAAGTAAGAACATGATGCATCCTATGTGTCAGGGACTTCACCTTCATTTAACCTTCATAGCAACAGTATAAAGTAGTTATTATCCCATGTGACAGGTAAATAGTGATCCCCTCAAAGATGTGCACATTCTAGTCCCTGGAACCTGTTAATAGTCCACCTTGCTTTTTTTTTTTTTTTTTTTTTTTTTTTTGATACAGAGTCTTATTAAGTTGCTTTAGGCCTCACTAAATTGCTGATGCTGACCTCAAACTTGTGATCCTCCTATCTCAGCTTCCCAAGTTGCTGGGATTACAGGCATGTGCTGCGGCCAGCACACTACCTTGCGTGTTAACAAAGGGGATTTTGCAAATATGATCAAGTGAGTCCTGCAAGTATCATCCTGGATTACCCATGTGGGCCCAATGTAATCACTAATCAAGTTCATCCAAAAAGGAAGGCAGGCAAATCAGAAGAGGAGACGCGACAACAGAAGTAGAGTTAGAGTCATGTCATTCCTGAAAGGAAATTGTGAACCAAGAAAGGCAGGCAGCCCTTAAAAGATGGAAAATGTGAAGAATGAATCCCCCCCACCCCCAGAGCCTCCAAAAGGAAGGCAGTCCGGCTTACACTTGATTGTGGTCCTACAAGACCCATTTGTTGACTTTAGATATCCAGAACTATGAGACAACAAATTTGTGGTGATTTGTTACAGTAGCCATAGAAACTGTATATCTCAGTTTATAAGTAAGGGTGCTGAGGATGATTATTTAAACTAGATCACATACCAAGAAGAGAGATTTCAACCAGGCAAGCAAGTCCCAAGCCTGAGCTCTCAATCCTCACCCTGCTTCCTAGTGCAAGTCCCACTGGAAACCAGCTTTGATACCAAATTCTTGAATCTCTGAGACTCCTTCTCCAGCCTAGACCACTTAAATTTACAACTCATTAACTGCTCCTGAGTATATCCACTTCAATGTGCATCAAGGACCTCATTTTTGCCCTATCCCCAACAGACTGCCCTGTGGCTAGCTAGCAATTCCCATTTTAGTGACTGGTGTTGCCATCCACTCAGATCCCCAAACCAGGAAGGTGGAAATCATTCTGGATATCTCCCTATCTCTCGCTCCCAAAAGTCACTTACTGGCTTACAGGAAAGTTGAAAGCTCCTAAGCACAATATTTCTTGTAGTTCTTCTATGCCTTAGTTTACAAAAAGTCAAAGAGCCTGAAATTCCCTGAATATATGAGGCCATTTCTCCTGCCTAGGATATTCTTAACCATATCTCACTTTTTTTCTTAACTTAGCTATCCTTCAAGACTCTGTTTAGGTACCACCTCTCCCAGAAAGCTTTCTGTCACCTCCCTGCCTTATAAATGTCTTTGAACTGAAATTATCCATGTGAGTGCCCATCTCTTCCACTAACTATAGAGCTACCCAACCTCAGGCACTTGAAGGCATTTGTAGGGATTACCACATCTAGCCCAGTGCCAGCAAATGTTCACCTAAGTAACTCTCAATGTTTACTTGATGGAACTGGGGGCAGGCAGACTGAACCAGAAACCAAAACCTCAAAAACTGCTACACTGGGCAGTATCAGTGTGTAACTCCACCATTAAACCCTCATCTTTTCTTTTGCATAACTAGTAAAGCAAGTGTACCCCAGGAAGATTAACACTTCAGCCAAACTTCAAAAGTTGAACACACAATGTGAGAATAGATTTTTTTAAATTTATTTTTATGTGGTGCTAAGGATCGAGTCCAGTGCCTCACACATGCTAGGCAAATGCTCTACCACTGAGCTCCAGCCACAGACTGAGAACAGATTTTGATGAGGGAGGAAGCTGGGACAATGTTGGGCTTCTGGAGAAGGATCAAGGGATAAATAAAGAACCCAAAAGTAAAGAAGGGAGTAGAAACAATGAAACTAAAATCCTAACCCTAAAACATTTGCAACCTAAAATCTTTTTTTTTTTTTTCCTACTTCTCAGTTTTGCACAGATTCAGCCATGGTCACCATTGATTCAGCTGCTAGGTTGGTGGCCTTATGTTCACAGTCTCCTCTTTCTGCCCCCACCCTCTATAAAGTTTCGACATTTCCTTCTTATCCCTCTCCTCTCCTTTGGCTTTCATTTCCCCTGGCCCTCCCAGTCCTCCCCTATCTCTTGGTACAATTTCTCACTCTCCTGGGCAGGATCCTCTTAGTCTAAGTTTGATTTCAATCTAGGCTTGTTCGTGTTTCATGATCTTAATATACTGCTGTTGTCTACACACAGTCTCTGGGCAATCTCATCACCCTCTTGCTTTTAGCCTCCTTCCTATATAACCTCAAAACTAAATTTCCAGCCTAGACTTCTCCACAGAGATCTAGACCCACGTAGCTGACTGCCTACTAAACAGCTCTGGCTGAATATTCTAAGGAAAAACTCAGATCCAAAACTCATCACCTTTCACCCCAGACGTCTCCCAAGTTTGGAGATAGGAAATAGGAGTCATTCAGGTCATCTTCTTCTCCTGCACCTCCCACAGCCATTCAGTGGCTCATCCTGCTTATTTTCTCTCCCAATTCACTGTTACTATGCACTACTATGCTGTTCCTATTCAGTCTTCCTCCCTCCAAAATAACTTCTCTAGTGTATTTCCTACATAGCTGCTGGAGGGATCTCTCTTAAGAACATATCTGGTATTACTCCTCTCTTTAAATCCCCTTGGTGGTTTCCTACTGTCTACAATGTGCAGTCCAAACTTCTGAGCATGGAGCTGTCTGGTCTGGCCCGTGCCTACCTCTCAAAACACTTGCCTTCTATGCCTTTCTGTTTGCTAAACTACCTATGTCAGGTTTCTCCTCTCTGCTTTTCTTCTTGTAGCTCCCTAATATAATACCTACTCCCCAAACTGCCCATCTGAGAATGCCTATATATTTTTCCAGTCTTGAAGCACTTATAGATCATCTCTGAGTCAGGAGGTAACACTGTTGAAATCCAAGAATAAAGAGAAAATCGTTATAGTAGCCTGAAAAGAGTGAAGTATTACAGGCAGGAGAATAACAATAAGGTCTAATTCTCATCAAAAGAAGGAAAGGGTAGAGAAGAAAATGCCCAGCAGAGACAATCCTAAAAGAAAAAAACAACCCAGCACCCTAGAATTCCACATCCAGTGAAACTATCTTTCAAAAATGAAGGAAAATTAAAGGACATTTCCAGATAAACAAACACTGAGAGAAGTTTCTAAGAGACTTGCCTCTCAGGAAATATTAAGGGCTGGGATTGTGGCTCAGTGGCAGAGCTCTTGCCTCAGACGTATGGCACTGTGTTTGATCCTCAGCACCCTATAAAAATAAATTAAATAAATGTATTTATTTAATTTATTAAATAAATGTTCATCTGCAACTAAAAAAATTTTTTTAAAGGAAGAAATATTAAGAAAATTATCATAGATAGTAACTTCAGAAATACATGGTGGTGCAGGCCTATAATCCCAGCTACTAAGGAGATTGAGATAGAAGAATGGCAAGTTGGAGGCCAGCCCTGGATAACTTAGGGAGACCCTGTCTAAAAAAAATATAATAATTTTATTTATAGTTTATATGCATGTATATTTTAATAATAATTTTACATATTTTTATATTTTTAATGATTATAGTTTTATACATAGTTCAGAGGTATAATGTCCCTGGTTCAATACCCAGTACAGAGACACAGAGACAGAAAGGGAGGAAGGAAGGAAAGAAATGAAGGAAGGAAGACAAGAAGAAATCAAAGAAATGAAAAGGACTAGGAAAGCAAATATGTAAGTTGATATAATTTTATATTTTTCTTCAGACACTTTTTGATTGTTTTCAAAAACAAAATCTGAAGACAGCAAGTCATCAGGGTAATGCAAGAGGAAGGTTGTACTTCAAAAACAGATCTGAGCTTTAGCAAAGCTATTATCGTAGAAGACTTCCTATCATTTGCTCTTCTAGCCTCAATCCTCTTCTGTGAAATGGGATTGATAATATGCACCTGGTAAGGTTGCTTTGCAGATTAGGATGAGTAAAGTGCCCAGCACGGTGCTTGGCACACAGTTGATGTTCAATAAATGGTAAGTATATCATCTGACTCTTAAAAAATTCACAACAGCAAAGAAGTGAAGCACAAAATAATACTTTCTTACTACCATAAGCTTAACACCTTTCTGTGTTTTTTTAATTTTGTATACTGTACTCATCTCTCCATATTGGAATACTTGCTATTTAGGAACATGTAGCAGCTCAGTCCATAATGAAAGGCCTTTTCTCAGAAAGTGGAATAGGAGAGGGACATCCGTGTCTCACCCCCATTGGGGAAGTGTTCCCCTATGGGACAGTGGGCAAGGCCCAGGCCACTGACAATATCCTCATGATATTTTTAAAGTCTTAAATCCCTCAATACTAAGTATAACAACTTGCTTTCCAACATATATCTACTGCTTATTGCTCAAATTGGTTATTAACTCAGACATTTCCATGTTTTCTAAATCACCAGAAGATTTCAAATGCTCTGTCTCCTGTGCCAACAACCTCAACCATGTAAATGAATCAATAAATAAGTCACCTTGTTTTAATCTTCTCATTAAAAAAAATACTAAGACAACGAATTGCTCATATTAAACTTCCCTTTGGTCTGTTGCTTGAAATATTTCCAAGTCTCCATGGGCTGATTCCCTTTCACACACACAAACGTGAGAAACACATGGATTGAGAAAAGACAAAGTAATAGAATATTTTAAAAATGTACATGTTTGTTCCAAAGTACTCTTTTCAAACAAGGACTGGCTTCACTGGAAAAAAAGTTGTTGCCAAAATCCATCTTTCCAGGGGCTCTTTGCACATTTTTTGCAAACAACCCTGGAAAGTTGAGCCCCAGCCTGGCAGTGTTCACTCCACTGTGGCCGCCAGCTCTGCCGTTGTCCCAGGGTCACAGTGCATGTTCAACTTGGATAAAATATATAAAGTTGAGGGCTGTTTAAACATAGCGAAAGTAGACTTCAGTGCCTTAACCTGAAAGGGAGAGGAGTTTCACATTTCTCTCATGAAGCTAATGCACTCAAACAGAACTTTACTTGGAGAGAAAAATGGCTCCCTATTTTCCCACTAGTAATTTTCCCCCATCTTCTTCTTTTTTTATTTTTAGCCTGAAGAACTCGAAATGGCTAGAGTCTCTGGAAGGGAAAGAGGAAGGACTTACCTGTGCCAGCCCGGTGAAGAGAAGAGTGGAACAGAGGAGCCCCTGCATGTCGCTGGGATGCAGCTGGCCTGAGAGATGGGAAAGTGGGGGCTCCTCATGCTGGGGACACACAAAGCTTCCCTGTCTTCTCTGAAGGAGCCGCCTCCACCTCCGGGCACTGGCTTCCACACTGGCTTTCCTTTCAGTACCCTGCTTACTTTCATGTGTCTCTTCCAGAAATACCTTCACAGCTAGGATGAAGTGTGTCAGGAGAGGGCCAGGGCTTTCCTCCAGGGATTCAAGGGCAGATCCAGCGATGGCTTTTCTTTAAGTAAATGTGCTCACTTTTCCGGAGATCAGAGTCTGCCCTTGGGCAAAATGGAGGCATTACTTTCCATTCCTGGCCCTCTGCCTCTCCTCTGTGATTTCCCTGCTCCAGCTCCTCTCTGGGCTGCTTTCCTTCCTCCTTTGCCCTCAAGCAGAGGGCTAGCCTGGTCTCTCCGCTTCCTGCCTCACCACAGCCTGGCCCTGTTGATGGGTTTCTCACTTCCCATCAACAACCAATTTCTAAAAGGCCATTTCTGATTCGCCAGCTGTTGACTTTCGGACGTTTCCACATGCTCTGCATTAAACACAATCCTCACACCAGGTGGACCATGATTGGAAAGGAAAAACCCAGCCTGAGAAAAGCTACTTTCTGTGGCCACAATTCCATGGCAAATAAAAGTAAAGCTAACTCCAATCTTCCCAAGCCTATGATCAAACGTTTGTGCTAGTAACAGTCATTTGGATTAAAGTTTTGTTTTAAAAACTTATTACAAGTTTTTCTCCTTTCTCCTTCACACCCCTCTAACATGTAAAGCCACCATTCCATCCCCTCCAATGTGGTCATGTATGACTTTTGCTCATCCCAACTTCTCAGCCCTGGTCTCTGCAGATCCTACATCTGCAATGGAGCTGACTTTCTGTGGGTCCAATGTGAAATTCACTTTCCTGTGCATTCCTGGGGCCTATTTCTTTTCCTACTGGACCATTTCCTGTCCTGCCTTGTCCTGTTACCCTACTTATCCTGGATTATTGCTCACGTCTGTGAACACAGAGTCACAGCTATATAAAGACACATCAAGTAAGGCCTCACTCAGGCCTGAGCTGAGAGTCTGGGAAAAACTAGTTTCTCCTACTACCACAGAACCTGGGGCCTTTGGAGAACCAGAGACATCATAAAACATGCAAACTATAGTTCGTTAAGCCATAATTGTATGCACATAGGACAATAAGGAATATCCAGTACAATTATAGTAATAACACCTTATCCTATTCCCTAAGAGATAGGACAAAACCCAAGAACGGCTTTAGTAAAGAAACATGTTTCTGGTTTTGGTTCAATCTGATCCTTCTCTCTTTATCCTCCTGCTTTATCACCATTTGGTCTTTGGGTTCCCAACCTCAGTGATTCATGACCCACATGGGCCATCAGAATAGATAATTTCTTATTTCCTGATTTATGTGTCAAAGGCAGAGTAGTTACATTCCACATCTAGTACATTCATGTGTTAGTCAGCTTCCTATGACTGTAACAAATGCCTGAGATAAACAGACATAGAAAGAAGAAAGATTTGTTTGGGATGACAATTTCAGAGGCTTCAGTCCATAGTTGGTGGGTCATGTTGTTTGGGCCCGCAGTGAGGCAGCACAGCATGATGAGAGTCAGTAGTTAAGGAAGCTGCTCGCCTCATGGCAGCCAGGGAGCAAAGAGGGAGGTGCTAGAGTCCCCATATGCCCTTCAAGTGCATGCCCCCTGTGGCCTAATTTCTTTCCAAAAGGCTCCACCACACAAAGGTTCCAATACCGCCACAGGTTTCAGACCAAGCTTTTTGATTTGAGGAGACTCTTATCCAAACCATAGCAGTTCATTGACCATATTCCTCTGGCTCCAACTCTCCATGTTCAAAACGTTGCTGCAAATATCCATGTGATATTTGGATTTAAGGAGATTCATCCTTCTCCCATTTGTGTCTGTGAATGCTGGTGGCATAAGTCACTTTCTGGAACAGTCTGGCCTCCCTCTGCAACCCCACTACTATGGAAGCAGTGGAAGGTGTCATATTGATCACCCTTGCCTCTTGGTAGAACAGGAACATCGTGCTTGAGAACTGATTTGTGAAAATTCCCCCAGTATGTGGAATCTGTCTGCTCTGGGTTACTCCCTGGGTGCTTCTGTTTAAAAACTTCAAACCTATGAGTGAACTAAGTGAATATGGTTATTTTTAGAGGTCCTGGTGCCATCTGTGATGTCACACAATAAAGGCTGTCAAAGACATGCATCCTTTTCTAAGCACTCTCCTCTATTATCACATCTAACAAAATGCTCATGTGTCCTGGAGCTCACTACCCAAGTATTCAGCAAGTGATGTACATTCAAACAGACATGGCACTAAGCAAAACTAATATTTGCATCACATTTTATGATTTACAAGGACATTTTCCATGTATTATCTTTTTTAATTTCACAGCTCAGTGAAGTAGACAAAAGTGGTATTACCATCCTCATTTAATAGATTAAAAAGTTAAAGCCAAATCATTGTACTTGGTCAATAAAACACACTTAATCCCTGCCCTCTAGAGCTATATAATCTGCTGGGAGAGGAGACATTGAATAAACAAACACACAAAATATCCATCATTAAAAATTGAACAAAGTCTAATAATAGAGAAACCAAAGGGGCATGAGGAATGACAGACAGACAGACAGACAAGGAAACATCATCCCCGATAGAACATTCTGTCTTCTACCCAGAGCAGCCATTTAGGCAGGTAAAGGTGAGAACCACACTCCAGCTCAGCAAGGTTCATGCAGGATGAGTCTTCCCTTCCTCATTCCCTCTTTCCTTCTCTTTCTATCTTGTTGGTTGTGGACAGGGAGGTATCAATAGAGAGAGCCATTGTTGGCTTAGTGACATTTTGAAAGGAAGGAGGGTTGATGTGGGCATCAGAGAAAGCAGAAATTCAATAACAACTGACATCTAATAAATCACCCCCCTGTCTTGATACTATTATATTCAGTGCTGTGGATTATCACTTGAAACTCACAGTAACAGAACAGGATAGGTACTATCATTATCATCATTGTTTTACTTATGAGGAAACTGGGGCACGGTGGTGTGGACAGTAAGGGGCAGTGTTGGGAGCCGCTCTGGACAGGAGCTATAGTAAACACTTTAGGTTCTGATTAAAGAGGTACTGAACTGGTATTGCACCCATTGCAATGCAATTAAGTGTAGGTGTCACCCATTGGAGTTGAATTACATCCACTTGTTTGTTGTGACCCTACCCTTTGCCCTTTTTTTGGATAGAATGTTCGTGGATTTGCTTACCCCATTACTAAAACCTGGGTTTGAGACATGCTCCTTCTCTTTCTTGCCTGCCTTGAACCCCTTGTGGGAGCTGCGGCTGAGGAGTGGTCACTGAACCCAAAGAAAAAGGTATTTCTCTATGTGTCATTATTTTGTGCCAGCCCAGTTCTCCTGGAGTGACCCTGATGGGTTGGTTTAGTCCTGTGTCACGACAGGGCAGAGTCAAGATTCCAAGCATTCCATCCCCACAGTGCTCTGCTGCCTCTCTGCAGGGCCCATAAATTAATAAGATCTGTAGCAGGATCATTTATTAAGATATTAATTTGCAGGGCTGGGCTGTAGCTCAGTGGCAGAGCGCTTGCCTAGCATGTGTGAGGCACTGGGTTCGATCCTCAGCACCACATAAAAATAAACAAATAAAATGAAAACATTCTGTCCATCTACAACTACAAAAAAAAGGTATTAATTTGCATTGAGTCCTCAATATTTTTCCTCCTCACTGCTCCACTCTTGGATTTCAGGAAGTTAGTGGGGTCCTTTCTCTTTCTTGTCACTCCATCCTCCAAGCAGAAAGTAGAAGTTACTAGAATGCTTTGTCCTGTCTTGAACTCACTGAAGAGGTGAGGCAGGGAGAGAAGCCCATGGGCTGGGTGAGGACGGGGTACTTAGGCCCCTTTGATGCAACCCAGGAAGGTGGTCAGAGCCCAGAGGGACTTGATGCTCCATGATGCCCCCAGCAGACACTCAGTACCTGTATTCACCCAGTACTGTTCTTCAGCTAAGCTCCCAGGGAAATTTGTGAGGATGCACAACCTTACGTGTCTCTGTAGATGTGGGCAATATGAGTATTGGCAGAAAACTCAGAATCTGAAGATGAGAGGCCTGGCCTCTTGTGAGGCACCTCCCAGGCCTCCTGGATTGTTGTTTAACCTCCACTGGAGGTGGTGGTGTATGGTATTAAGGATGAGGAAGAGCTCACTAAGGTTTCATTAGAATCAATCCATCTCCAGATGGGAGGAGGAGGAGTGTTCAGAGCCAGGTTCCATTTGAATTAAAGAAAATGAATTTGTGCAGTCACATTCATGTGTGCTACGAATACCATATGACTCACAAGATCATCATTCTCTTTGAGTGTATGCTGTCACCTGATAATCGACAGCCCTCAGGACCAAAACCAATGCTGGAGCACCTGCACCACTCCTCTTGGCTCTCTGTTCACTTCTGGCACTGCCTGCAACTAGATCTCTAATTATCCAGCCACTCTTCCAGCCAGGTTGCTACAGCAGCCCCAGGAGCGATGAAGAAAATTCACGTGGTAGGTGCTCAATAGAAACAGGTGCTTTAAATGACTCTTTTTAAAACCACATTATAAGAACCAAAGCTAAGCATGTCTATAATTTTATATGCATTTATCTACTGCAACCTTTTGTGTCCATTTGCTATTACTAATTACTGTATTTCTCACCTTTTTTCCATATGTCCTTCTGTTAAATGAATCCGCCCCCGTTTTTTTACTTTAGTCTCAACATCCCAAAATGATTCCAGTAATGCATGCATGAAACAGTAGGTTGGTTCTCTTTTCTTCCTTCATTAACCTGTATGCAAAGCTTATTAACCAACACCTGTGCATTCTCTAAGGTGCTGCCAATGCCCCCCACCATGGAGGGAGGATGGAAGAGTTATCAAGGTCTGCTTGGCCTTCTGTCCAGCTTTTAGTGAACCAAGTCCAAGAACGAGCAGCCCCTGACAATCACAAAATGCTCTGCCATCTGGGTGGGCCTTGGATAAGAGTCTCTTGAAAATAAGCAGGTGCCCTCATTCCAAGGGCACAAAAAAGTCAGGCTGTGGCCCAAGGAAAACAAGGCCAAATATCTAAGAACAATATAATTCACTTTGTCACTTGGCCCTGTCAGTCTGGTTTGCAGAAGGAGCTCTGAGTGGGAAAGTGGGCTGAGTTAATTAGATGCAGGCACTGAGGACAGCCACATGAAAAGCAGAAAGGGAGAGAAAAGGAGGACAAAGTATTTTCAGTATTTCTAAATGTGGGTGGAGCTAATGTTTCAGGGAAGGAAAAAAGCAAGCAGAGTGTGGTGTGCCATTTCTGATTTTAAAAATGGGTGCACATGTGAATCATAACCCAACTAGATGAGGAGGTCCCTTGGCAGTGACAGGTATGCTGGACTTATACTCAGAGGACCCCAGTTCACATCCAAACTGCCTCTTTTATGAGATCACTGACATCCCACAATCTTCTCTAGCTCTCTGCCTCCAGGTTTCCTAATTCCTCCCATCTCTCCTCAACACTGCTAGCCAATTTGTCTTTCTAAAACACAAATTGGGTCATGTCACTCTCCTATGGAAAGCTTTTTGTTCAGTCCCCTCTGCATACGAGGATAAAATCCAGCTTGTGGGAAGCACAGTAGAAGCACAGTTCCATGACACAGCAACCTTGCCTTCACCCT